GGGATTGTTGATATTGTCTGCTGATGGTTACTTAGCCTGTGCTGCTTTTTCACACCTGCTCTGTCTCTTTTCTTCTTCCTCTTTCGTTGTGTGTAGATCGCGTCTCTCGCCGGACCAGGTGGAAAGGTAGAAGTCGAGCAGAATTTTCTGAACAACAAGCTGAAGACGATCACGGCGTACTTTGGGAATTTAATCAAGTGAAAATCATTATGTTTTATTACTTCTTTTATGGTCGTTAACACGTATGTCATCTGTACTCGGTTATTGCACTTATACATGTTATAACTCCTTTTGTAAAGACGTTGATGATGAATTTTATAGACTGTCCTCTTGATGCTTCTAGTTTGTTTTGTTTTAATGTATTTATGTTTTTTCCAGCATTGATATAAAACCTATTAAAGTTTATTTGCAGAACTGTGGACGATCTGACCTCTCATTCACTTTTAGGGTGTACTCACACTAGGCACGGTTGACTTGAACCGTGCCCAGGTGCGATTGTCCCCATTTCCCTCTCCCCCTTGGCCTGCACTCACACTGCATGTTTACCATCCAAGCCTGAGCACACTTAAGTCATCGATGATGCCACTGTTCAGTTTTGAAGAGAAGCGTTCTCACTCTGTACAATTGAGATGGCCTTAGTTATAGACCTTTTTCTTGGCTGCTGCATGGAGGGCGCCATAGCGAGCAGCGTCTTCCGGTAGAATGTTTAGAACTTCCATTTACAGCGTTTACAACTGGTAATTTGCACCCCGAAAATAGTTTTCAATATCGTTTTGTGTGGATTACGGAATGTTTTTGTGACTCACAACTTTGAAAGGTTTGTGTTAAAGCCGTTATAATCTGTCAGATGTGGTTCAAGCGCAAGAGAAAAACGTTCTCCTAGTTCATGTGTCTGTAGTCAGATATACAGTGTGTGTGTGTGTGTGTTTCACCAGCCTATCAGCTGTTAGCTCAGCGGCTCTTCAATATTCACACACACACACACATGCAATACTTCACTGCAGCATAGCGCAAACCAGATTACTGGCATGAAACTTAACAGGTATGCAAGTCATGCAATTTACAAAAATGACCAATTAAAGTGTGTGACTGCTGGCTGATTTGCTGTTCATTCTAATCGCGAGGCGTTTATGTTTCATTCAGTGTGTAGTATTCACAACGGTTTGTTTTTCTGTTATTTCAAAATGTCACTTTATTTTCACTTTGTCACAGTTAATAAATCAGTGTGTTAGTGGGACAGTACAGTAGGCTATGTGTGTGTGTGTCAAACATTTTGTTGAATGACATGTGTTTGGGCTGGTTATATATTTGAAAGAAAGAGAAATTGTTGACTTTAGCGATGACCACGTTTTTTTTGAACAGCAGAAAATGCCGTCTGACAACGAGGGGAAAATGCCTCACTGCTGTTGTTTTCCACACCATTAAATCGCATTTTTTTAAAATAACCAGTCCTGGAGGTGACGCTGATCGACAACAGTATTAGTTCAAAGATGATAAAAGTAGGTAAAACAGATTAAAACTATCGTTTCAAAGCTGTCCAAATGTGATTGTTTATACGCATTAGCTGCAGACAGGAAGTTCTTAGCATTCTTCTTGCGCATACACGCAAAGCATAATGGGAAATTTTATGTTCTAAGGAAAAGGTCTGAATTGGTTTGTATTATTTTATGTCATTTCATATGCAGTGACACACAGTCAAATCTTTTGCAGAACAGATCCACCACTTTTGATTCTCATAAAAGTCATTGTGCTGCATGTATTAGGAGGCTTCCTGAAGGTGAGAGGGTTTGTATCTTTGTTAAACTTTGACTGTGCGCATTCTTTGAAAAGTAAGAATGATTAATAAATCCATATGAAACCGTCCCTTAAACGTGACATCACATCTTCAGTGACTACGTTTACCTGTACTTCAGTAATCAAATTATTTGCCTTAATCTGAATTTTGAGTGTTGCTTTCATGATCCTGCTTTAATGCTTTAAAGCTAATAATTTGACTAACATCATTGCGTCACCACGCTATCCACATTTCCTTCAGAATTTCATGTAATTTCACGTGTTTCATTTTTAATTTGTCAACTTTAACTGCAGTTTGGCGCTTTCACTTTCATTCAAGAGCATTTCATGAATGCCAACCATGACAAATGATGCGAGTATAAACTGATGGAAGAGTTTAGTTTTAATCAGCGTATCCGTGGGGTCTTAAAAGTCTTAAAATGTCTTAAATCTCAAAAGCTAAATAAATCTTGAATCTACTGAAATGCTGGGTTGTACGTCATTTTCACCAGGTTTTAATTTTTCTAAAAACTTCCTACAGTAACATTTGCTAAAAATGTTCTTCATTTTGTTCAGGATACTGACCTAACATACATTTTTTAATAGTAAATGGTTATTATTGTAGTCTGAAGTAGTTGATAGCTATGTTTTGTTCTATTCTTAGTAAGGGTTATAGGGTTTGTAAATGGATATATTTGAAAATTAATTAAAAAGAAATATTCGAACTATATTATTGTTGTATTATGTAAATATATTAATTCAATTCAGTTGAATTCATTTTATTTGTATAGCACTTTTACAATATAGATTGTGTCAAAGCAGCTTCACATAGAAGACTATGGTGAAATGAAAGTTTCAGTTCAGTTTTCAGAGTTTAGTTCAGGTCAGTGTGGTTTAATATTCACTGCTGATAGTCAAAACACTGTAGAGCAAATCCATTGATGGGCAGCTCTACAAGTCCCGAACCAAGCAAGCCAGTGGCGAAGAAAAAACTTCACCAATTGGCAGGAGTGAAGGATAACAAACCATATTAAATTTTAATCATTTTTAGATATGGCAAGTGAGAATCTTTTCAAACTGGGATATTCAAACACATTCTTAGCATTTAACCCTGTATAAGTCTAAAATTTCATTCTTAAAATGTCTTAAAAAGTCTTAAATTTAACTTGGTGAATACCGCAGAAACCCTGATTAATGGAGTTTGATACCTCACACCATATGGAGAGAAAAAAAAAAACGCAGCTTCCCTGACTCTGTAGGTTCATATAATAGTGTCAAACATCCTTGTGTGTACAGACTACATGTCACGAAATGCGGCAAAAAATCCTACACAACGGTAATTTTTTGAATTAAGGCGTTTACATGTCTGCACTTCAATAATGCTACTAAACCGGCATACTCCAAATGTATTAATCCGATGTCTTTTTAGTTTGATTATGACCTTAATCTGATTAAATTAATCAATAATCAATGTTTACGTGATAGATTCTTAATCAGCGTATTAACTTAATCGCATTAAAATCGGATTATTGGTGTCAGTTTCTCAAACTGCTGAACTGAACCTCGCCCAGACACGGTTTGGATACACCTTTAGAAAACATTACCTCCTATCCATCCTAAAATTTGCACTCGCCAAATTCAACTAACAAAAGTAGTTATTATATTCACTATTAGCTTTTTTTTTTTTTTTTTGTAAATTACACAGTATTTTACTGTAATATGACCTGCATTTTATTTTGACGTAGGGCAGTTATGCCTTTGTTATTTTTATGTAAAAATTACTGTATATTTTAAAGATGTACGATACTATAAATGCACATGCTAAATAGTGCTGTGAATGTAAATACAGCATTTTGCTGTATTTGATCTACAGTAAAATCCTGGCGAACTTCTGCCAGTAAGTTGCTGTAGATTCTACAGGAAATTGTCAACATTGTAATGAGTAATTATTATCACTCCTGAGGATGTGGTATGGTTTGCCACAATTATTAGTTCCACAAAATCTATGTTGTATTTATATAACAGTAAAACTTATACAGGACTATGGTCTCGGTTCACAGTAAAATGATCCACATTGTGCTCATCATCAAGCTCGTCTTTCACAAGTCCTACAATGTCTTTTAGACTGCAGCTCTGATTCTTTTCTGTTAGGTCAGAGGAGAACTGGGTCTCCTCTAGCCTGCTTTGGGTAGGTGGAGCTGCTTTACTTTGGACCGAACTTCAGCAGTGACATTTGTATTAAAATGAACTGAACCAGTTTTACTTGAACTACACCCGCATTGTACCACCAGTCTTCTGCCTGTCTGATATGCTAAAATGTTGCAAAATTTTAAATATGGTACTGTTTTTTTTTTTTTTTTTTCTTCATCTATGTTAGAAGTGCCCAAGCTCAATCCTGAAGGGCTGGTGTCCTGCAGAGTTTAGCTCCAACTTGACTCAACACACCTGCCAGAACATTTTAAGCAAGTTTACAAAGAGCTTGATAAGTTAGCCAAGGTGTCTTTAATTTGCAGTTAGATTTAAACTATGCAGGACACCGGTCCTCCAGGACCAAATTTGGGCACCTCTGATTTATGTGAAACTGCCTCTGCATTATGAAAGCGCTATAATAATGATGAGAAAATGTAAGTCTTCCGAAATTTCTAAATCTACTGTTAACAAATGAGAAGTTTCGAAAGAGAAGTATCCTTGTGGATTTCTGCCTAAATAAAAGCTCTATACAGATTTAAAAACATTTTAGTTTGAAATAACAATGAGCTATTGATACTATCATTATAAAAATTTGCATTATTAATAAATACTTCTCAGATTTTTAGAGAGATATGTCGTTATTGATTTAGTTTTACTAAAATATTCCGAATATCGGTATACACATCTATCTTTCAGATACTATTTCACTGTACTGTAAGTAAAATTATGTTTTCATTTCAATTATAACAATTATATTAGATGCCAGTATTACAGTTTGTTGTACACTATTCATTTGTTTGATTATGTATCAATTTCTTTCCATTCACCTGGTTTTACAAATAAATGTATTGTGTGTTTGTAAAGTATAAATCATATTGAGTAAAACATAGTCGCATGTTTTGCCACTGCTTTTAAGAGTCTGGACTTTATGGCCGTAATGGAACAGTGGTTTTATGCAAACAGACAAAACAGAAGTCTGGTGAACACGATGAATAGTACCAGGAAGTTGAAAGAACGGTAAAAACACCAGTCGTCCACTCTCTGGTTCCTCATTCTGCGTTTGTGTGCGTGTGTGTGGCGCTTCAATGAGAGTCAGAGAGCGCGCACTCGACGGTCATTCCTCTCAGAAACAAGTCCCTTTAAATGCGAGTTAACCGTTTTCTGACAGTCTGACGGGTAGGTAGACATTTCCTTCTTTTCTGCTGTTCTCTACAAAAGATTGTCTGGGTGTGTTGCTGCGCTGTTACAGTAAATGTAAATAATGTAACGTTTTAACCGGTGTTTGTATTTACTTTATATGAGAGCTTTGGAATAAGAGAAATAAATCAATGATGTGTATGTTGAGGGTGCAAAAACAAGATAAAAGCGTGTTAGCTTAGTGATTTCCTGGAGAAATGAAAAGGCGGTAAAATATGAATAATTATTAACTCATGGTCATGACTTTCATCTTAGCTGGCTTTAGTTTATTTTGGCCAGACCCCACTCACAGTATACAAAACACAACATCAGTGTACAGTACGTGTGTATTAGTAGTAAACATTTAAAGTGGACTCAAACATTTCATCAAGTTGTCCTAAAACTGTCGAACAACCTATTCTTGTCTCTTTTTTTTATCAGTTTTTTGATTCACTTAAAATGTTGACTATACACTGTACACACACACACACACACACACACACACATATATTATAGGTAGCCTACCAGTCAATAGTTTGCAAGTACTGTAGCCTACAATGATTTGAAAGATGAAGCATAATTTTTTTTTTCATTATCTAGAATATTATTATATTGAATTGAATTATATAGAAATTAAATTTTAAATTGTTCATTCTAATATCATGTTAGATTCCCATTTTACTGTTTGTTTTGCTTTACTTATTTGCATCTGTGCCACCATGAAACCTTTAAGTTCTTTATGGTGGAAAAAAAAAAGTTATTTAGGTTATTAAAATCTATGAAAATATTTTGGCGTCACTGTGAAAACCCCTTCCTGAGTTATTTCTGGTCTTTATTTGTTTTACCCTTTTAACTGCCTGCTCTACCAAATGGTTAACCATGTTTTGACTGTTTAAATTAATGACTGTTATAGTCATTTAAAGAATGAACGTTGATTTAGTAAGAAATCAACATTGAAAGGTGTAAAGTTGCTGAAATCAAAGTAATGAAAGGTGATTTAGTATTCAAAAATGTTTTATTTTGATTTTTTTTTTTTAAATAAGTCGGTCTTACACTTATATTTGTATTTATTCTGGTGCTTTTACCATAAACCAATACACCAAATTGGTTGATATTTTAGAAATGATGGGATGTGTTGAAAAAAATGCATTGAGTGTTAACTAACGACATTAGAAGGTAAGAAAAGCAATCCAATTTTTTTTTTTGTTTTTTTTTTTTGGTGGGGCAGTTGAGCGTAACAATTTATATTTATCAACTTGATGTTACACCACGACACTTGACCCGAGTTGTAGCAGATAAGCCCATTATAGTATTTGAATTTTTTTCAGACGTATTAACTTACTGTTCTCCTCCACACTATTAAATATGTCCATATCTGCAGGCTAGAAACCAGTGTTAAACAGCCTAGATTGCATTTCAATCAACACATACAGCGTTCTTAAGAGAAGAAGTAGTTGAGAGGTCTTTTGTGTGTCTTTTTCTTTCCTGTCATACTGAACGTTTTCGAGACGCTGGCCAGAGGAAGTGTGCAGCCCCAGTGGCCTGCTTGCTCACACATTAATCTAGCATTATAGCCTTGTTTCTAGTTTCCTGCACAATAACATCTAAAAATACTACCACTTCAGTGAAGTCCAGGACCGACGTTTAGTGTAGTCATTTAACCAAGCGTTCACCTTCAGCATAATAGAGGGCACTGTTTTTCCCTTGGTTTCTTCCTTATTACTTCTGATATCACATGGATTTTCTGCTAAATATGTATGTACAGATCAAAGTCTGATGCATTGAGAGATGTAGAAACATCTGATGTGGACTTTGTTTCAATAAGAGACTGTGACTTATTTATGGCTAGTAATTTGTGAAAATAAATAAATAAAAAGCTGTGATTTTTTTATTATACTTTTGACACTGGCTTGGCCCAAAAGCAAGAGTTAAATATTTTTTTGATGGCATACTCTTGATTGATTTATTTAGCATTTTTATATATGTTTATTGTGTGTTAAGTATAAATGATGATCATTATTATTAGTAGTAGTTGTGATATTTTTGGTGGAAACCCCTGATTTTAATTTTGTGGAACTCCAAATGAGAAATTTATATATTTGTTGTTGTTGTTTTTAAATTGGTATTAATATAAAATAATTACTGTTAAATGTATCAATATTTTACTCAAATAAATACATAATAAATCTTTTAAATCCAAAGAAACTGATCATTTACAGTATAGCTGTTCATACACTGTAAAACCTAATAGTCAAATTCACCAAATTAAATGAGTGTAGACAACTCGAATCTTACTGGAAGAGAATTCCCACAATGTAAAACCCAAAAAGTTAAGGTAACTCAAACCATTTGAGGAAACTAATTGTATCAAACCATTTAAGTTCAAAAATTAATCCTAATGAGTACTGTGAACCTAATCCATTTGAGTAAAAAAAGCAATTTGAGCACAGTCAAACCCAATAAATGAAGAGAACTCAAACCAACTGAGTACTGTAAAACCCAATAAGTTAAGGCAACTCAAACCGTTTGAGGAAATCGATTGCTGCAAACCATTTGAGTTAAAAGACTAATCTTTATGAGTACTGTGAACTTACTTCATTTAAGTTGAAGTAATAAAGTATTTGATTAACTCATTACCTTCAACACTGAGTTCAAGACTCTTTTCAAATGAGTAGAATTAACTTTCAGTCAATTTTGAGTTAACCCTACACTCATTTCAATTGATAAAGTTGACCATTGGTCAAAGCAACTGATCATCTATAGCTGTACATACACTGTAAAACCCAAGAGTCAAATTTACCAAACAAAATGAGTGTAGACAACTCAAATCTTACTCGAAGAGAATTCCAATCATTTGAAAGAGTTTTGAACTCAATTGATTTTTGTGGCAATCAGTTACCTCAAACTATTTGAGTTGTTTTAACTTATTGGGGCTTTACAGTCCTTAGTGGGTTTAAGTTTTCTTAATTGATTAGGTTTTACTGTGCTCAGATTGTTTCATGTACGCAAACGGATTAATAATAATAATAATAATAATTTTTATTTATATAGTGCCTTTCCAGAGCTCAGGGACACTTTACAAAGAATGTGACAAAAAGAGATAGTACTCATTAGGATTCGTTTTGAACTTAAATGGTTTGTAGCAATCAGTTTCCTCTAATGGTTTGAGTTACCTTAACTTTTTGGGTTTTACAGTATACACACTTGCGCACAATATTCAAGGTTGGAAAATATCATCTGTTATTTTCATCAAACAAATGCTTTAAACAAATTTAAGCACCAAAAAACAATTAGTAAAACAAAATGAAAGTAACAAATAATAAAAGTGAAATGCAAATAAACAATTAGCTTAACACGGGGGGTATGGTGGGGGGAATATATATATATATATATATATCAACTTTTCTTAAGTTTTCAGTTCATTTTTTATATATATATATTTTTTATTTTAACCTTGTGAATAGAAAAGGAAATGAAGAATGCTCTTGCTTACTGACGTAAAGTTTATTTATTGCCCATGCATTTCCTTTTGATAATCCTGTTTCTGTTGGTGCAGTTGACGCAGCATTTATGACATTCATATGATAAACATGTGTAACAGAATTATTACATGTGAGAATTAGGAAAGGACATCTTGTGTGTATGTGTGGGGAAATTCCTTGGTTTCTTCTCTATGAAACTCTGACCTGGAATTGTTTAGCCCTGTCTCGGTTGATGATTTATGTAAAACAGGGCATAGCGTTTAATGTGTTTGGCTCAACTTCTGTTTTGTTTTTTAAGTGTTAGTTGTGTCTTATAACATGCTGAGAGGGTTATTATTGCACAGAGAGCATATTTTTATGCTTATGACATGTATTAGGGATTGCTCTAAAAGCCTTTTATTCTGAGTAATTTGATACTTCTCTGCAGCTGTTCTACTTGAATGAACACTCGTCACTGTTTCAAATGCAAATACATCAGTAAATAAACACCATGACTGTGGTCATAAATTTAGACACCGCAGGAATCTTAATTTGTGCTTTGTTGACTTTCAGTTTAAAGACTTAATCTGACTTTAATGTTTTTTAAATGATCAGTTTAATAAATGATTTTATTCATGGTGGCGTATGGCAATTGAAACAATATTATGACGTTATTTTCCACTTCCCAAATGTATTAAGCCCCCATCACGAATATAACTGTATAACGAGCATGAATTCTCTAGTGAATAATGTCTTTTAAAAGGATAACTAAAAATGTACTCACTATTAGCTGACTCTTCCGTGGTTCCAAACCTTTATGAGTTTCTTTAATCTCTTTTAAAGAAAGCTGAAAATCTGTAACCATCGACTTCCATAGTAGGGAAAACCAATACTATGGAAGTCAATGGTTACAGGTTTTTAGCTTTATTCAATATATATTGTTTTGTTTGTGTTTGTGCGTTTTTTTAATTATTAACAATACATCAAAGATCAAAACTAAGATCGTGATAATCTAGAATGAAAAAAGTTACTTTGTGTAAATATATTTTTTAATATATTTTTTAAAGTCATTAAGTAAAATATTAATGCCTGTCAAAAGTCTTGTTGTCGGTCTCAGTTATTATAGTAACAATAAATAACTTGACTTCTAATTGATTATTTGGAAATGTGGCAGAAGGTAGATTTTTTGTTCTCATACTTCAGCCTTTACATTAAAGTTCCTGAAAGCAAAGAAGGTCAAAGTGCTCCAGGATTGGCCAGCCCAGTCACCAGACATGAAAATTATTAAGGCATTAAATATGAATCCAAGGAATCTTGATGAACTCCTGCAAGAATGCTTTCTTTGTCATTCCAGATGTCTTTATTAATTAGTTATTTGAGTCTTCCAAGCTCATGGGAGTCACACAATATTAAACCTTTTTCTGCTGCACCATGACTTTATATTCTATACTGTACATTATTCCTGCAGTGACAAAACTTTTGTCTAAGCAAAGTCAGACTAATTAAATAAATTAAAATATCAAGACTTGATCATATTTTATTTTGGTAAAATAAGCGTTATCTAGAGGCCTATGCCGTTCATATAAGCCACTTCTGATACCAAAGGATCAACTAGAAGTCAAGTTATTATTTGTTGTTCCCAAAACTTGGATCGGCAACAAGACTTTTGTCAGGTAGTGTATGAACATTCTATGGCATGCACTTATATTTAGATAAAAGTACAGCTAAAGTTGTTCCAGGCAGGTCTTGACCACACTACAGTCCCTTTAAATATATTTTCTATAGTTTTTGTTAAAATCACTACACCAAACAGTTTATTTCACAACCTACATACCTGACCAAGGTCTTGGAATAAAACATCTGAACAATGTCTTTAGGTGTGGTATGCATCATCACCTCAATTATTTTTTTTCGAATAATTCAACTACATGTTCTCAGTTATTTATGAACTCGAACCAGCGACTTATACCACTGTGCTGCCCAAAATGCATAATATTAAATATTTATTAAATAGAAACTCACAATGAATCTGGTTTTTATTTTTTACAGTATAATGATTTAGCTTTGAGGTAAACAGAATTAAAACAATTTAAAACATTTCTTATTATAATACACATCTTCAAATACTTATATAGAAAGCTTTGTATTGGTTGTGTAGGAGAAAATCATTTATACCTTTGTTCATGTAAACAACCAGCATCTGCTTCGTTTCATATCTTCATTTTGTGTCAGGTTTAATGATCCTTTCTGAAATAATAACATAAGTTGTATATGATATGGGTCGAAGACTCAAATTTATAAACAGTGCTCAGAGTAAATACACCGCTCACAGATATCTCTTTTAGATTAATAATTTCAGAATTATTTACAATAATATTGTGTGCATATACATTCAATTAGTAAGTACCAATGCCAAAACTGGAACAACTCTAACAAAAAAAATAAAACTAAACTGAAGATGACGGTCCAAACGTTACTAAACCCAAATTAATCTATTGGAGAAACATTGAATAAAAAAATTTATAAACGTGAAAAATCAAGAGAAACATAAAAAATGTTAACTTGTGTTAAAATTTTGTAGCTTGTATTTTTTATCTGCAACAACTTCTTTGAAGTTAAATGCATTATCTTTCTATTCCTAAGGATGTTCAGTAACCAAACTCTTTAATCAATCAATATAACTGTTTATTAAAATGGTTTTGTTTAAATGCACTCAGAATTATTGGCTAGAAATGGATTAAAATGCAGATTTTCAATAGGAAGTGTGCTCATTTATGCTCAGCACTGTAAATAGAAATCATATTCTCTTCCTGAATAACAACTGTTGTTAAAAAAAACTGTTGTGATGTCTAAACTATTGATTCACTTGAGTTACATTGATCAAACAAAAGAGCCATTAAGCATAATTCCTTGGTGTCATTTGGTGTGTATTGATTTCATTACAAATTTTCTTCAAATTTAACAGTAGTTCATCTTCTTGCAGGAAAACATGGGTTGTAAAAAATCCAAGTTGGATGGTGACCAAAATGGATGTGTGCTTGAACCAGTGAACAAAGAGCATCCAGTACGTACTGACCAAACATATGTGAGAGATCCAACCTCCTATAAGCCTCCTATAGTAAGTAGTAAGCTAGATGGGGGAAATAAAAAAAAATAAAAATAAATAAATCATCTTAAGATTAATTTAGCAGATTTTACCTTCATCAAACTTGAAGAGAAAGGCTTTCTGATATATTTAAAACAATTTCATGATTGTCTGATGATCGAGAAACATTGTGTTTCACAGACTTCCCAAAATGCCGGTCTCCTGCCTGGTCAGGTTTTCCAAAAAATGGAAGGTAGGTTTCAATCCCTTCATTTTGATCCTTTTGTAGCTTTGAAGTTCTTTGTAAATCTGCTTTTTCATTGTCTTGAAACAGAGAAGGAAAAAATCGTTGTCGCTTTATATCCATATGAAGCCATTCACGCTGATGATCTGGGCTTTAAAAAAGGAGAGAAGTTAAAAATTATTGAGGAGTAAGTAAAAGCCATCATCATCCTTTGAGTGTCCTGCAGTATTTTGTTCGTTGGCTGTTATTGTGATGTGTGATTTATTTTCCAGGCATGGCGAGTGGTGGAAAGCGAGGTCTTTGACCACACGAAAAGAAGGTTTCATTCCCTCAAACTATGTTGCAGAAGCAGACACTATGGAGACAGAAGAGTGAGTGCGATCAATTACAAGCTTAAGGGATTAGTTCACCCTCAAATGAAAATTCAGTCATTAATGACTCGCCCTCATGTCATTCCAAACCCCTGAGACCTTCATTCATCTTCAGACACAAATTAAGGTATTTAGATGAAATCTGAGAGCTCCCTCATCCTCCATTGACAGCAAATTCCACAGAAGGAACAAAAATTATTTTCAAACCAACTTCAGCAGTTAAACTGTATTTACACAAAGCTCCAAGAACACTTTTTGTGGGACAGAAAAACTGTTTTCGCCTATGTCATCCGCATCAGATACAATGCTTATGGCCCAAGAAAATCTAAAGGCCCCTAAAAAAAACACCTAAGCATAAAATATACCTATAAATTATATAAACATAATTTTCCATCACTTTTTGTGTGATGAGGGTCTAAAAAAAGTTTTTATATAAAAAAATAGTTTTATTACATCGCAATTGTGTCCCCCACCCTCAATTGTGGAGCAGAATCCAAATCACTAAATCCACCCCTGCATGATGTTAATTAACATAATTGTCCATTTTTATTACCATAAATGCACACCCTGACCTGATACATGAGAGAAGATGTAGGTGAACAAATCAACTGTTTTTTGGTGCCCAAAAGTGTTCTTGGAGCTTCATATTGAACGCTTAACTCAGATGGACATTTATTGGTGGAGATTGCTGTCGGATAAGAAAGCTCTCAGATTTGTTCCGAAAATGAACAAAAGTCTCAGGGGATTGGAACGACAGCAACGTGATTAATAAACAGAGTTGGGTAAAAAACTTTATTGTATTCTCAGGCCGATCTCACGAGGCAACTATGTATTGTCAGAATAGTGGCTGATATGAAAAAATTAATTCATTTATTAATTTTCTTTTTGGCTAGTCCCTTTATTAATCAGGGGTCGCCAAAGCGGAATGAACCGCCAACTGATCCAGCATATGTCTTACGCAGCGGATGCCATTCCAGCAGCAACCCATCACTAGGAAACATATACTCTCATTCACACACATACACTACAGACAATTTAGCTGACCCAATTCACCTATAGCACGTCTTTGAGCACCAGGAGGAAATCCATGCAGACACGAGGAGAACATGCAAACTCCACACAGAAATGCCAACTGGACAAGTCGAGGCTCGAACCAGTGACTTAATGCGCCACCAGGCTGCCCAATTTGTTCAAATTCATATGATTTAATCCATGTGAAAACAGGATTTTTAAAAGAAGGTGTGTCCCCAAACCCCACCTTTGCCCCTCATTGGGTGTTGAGCAAATCGTTCTTAAATGTATCAATGAGATTGTGTAAATGAACACAAATTAGCCACTAAATCAAAAGGTAATGAATTGCCATGAGATAAGTTTAAGTTTTTTTTTTTTTTAATTGAACAACTTTATTAATCCCACCAGTGGCAATTAAATTAGGGCAGTAGCATCATGATACAACAAACACATAAAGAGACAAATCACTTTCAAGCAATATTAATAACACGATCTAGCATGCTTCATTATAACTTTATAAATAATACTAAAAAACAGAAATAAGAAAAGACACATACAATAAAAATTATGTTAACGTTACAAAGCCTTATTGCCTCTGGAACAAAGGTGAATTTATACCTATTAGAGGAGCATTTAAGGCTTCTAAACCTTCTTCCAGAGGGCAACAATTAAAAAAAAGCTTCAGAGAATGGGACTCATCTCTTATCACATTTTGCTATTTATGCATTGATATTGCTGCTCATGTAACTCTGCTAGACTCTGCAGAGGCAAACACCTGTTTGTAGAGCGAGTAGTTTGACCTTTTTCTGCCATTTATTATTTCTGGTGATTTCTCCGAAAAGCAACCGAATCGGAAGTTCTAAAACAATCGCAAGAACGAGCGCACTTCCACATTGAAGAATAAGGTCAATACTGTCAATATAGGCAGTGGTGTAAAGCAACAAATTACAAATACGCAAATGACTGTAATTGAGTAGTTTTTATGAGGAATTGTAATTTACTAAGTAATTTAAAAAATGTGTACTCTTACTTTCCCTTGAGTTAATTTTTAGTGCTTTTAGTTTTGTTAATTTTAGTCCACTATTTTCCTTCAATCTGCAGTCACTACTTGTTTGCTTGTCTCTGAAGATTGGCTAAAGTTGATTCTTGTCCAATCAAATCGCACATAGAAAGTAAATTGCATCATACTAAACAACCTCAAGACATTAGTGCTTCATAAATGCAACAAACCGTTTGGAAGCATTAAAAGTGTGCAGTTGTCTGAAATCTTTACACGCAATGATCAATGATGTCACTGATGTAAAGACGGATGTTTACTGTGTGAGGACTGAAAATCACCTAATGCCCTTAAACATTTACTAAAGCACTACAGATTTGTACGTGTACACATCCATGCATAAATTGCATGAGCTGATCACATCGTGATACTCTATACTCTTGGGTACTTTTAAATGGGCACAGCGGAATAAACTGCCAACTTTTCCAGCATATGTTTTACACAGCGAATGCCCTTCTAGCTGCAACCCATCACTGGGGAACACCCATACACACTTATTCACACACATACACTATGGACAATTTAGCTTACTCAATTCACCTATACTGCATTTCTTTGGACTTATGGGGGAAACGGGAGCACCCGAAAGGAACCCACATGAACACGGCGAAAACATGCAAACTCCACACAGAAATGCCAAATGACCTAGGCTTGAACTAGTGACCTTCTTGCTGTGAAGGAACAGCACTACCTACTGCGCCACCGAGTCGCCCCTCTTTTTACTCATACTTTGAGTAATATTTACAACAGAAACTTTTACTCTACATTTTGCACTACATTTTTGGAAAAGTAATGGTACTTTTACCTGTGTATGATTTTTCATTTTTCTCTTAGCGCCACTGAATATAGGCAGTTTAAAAAGTTCTCATTATGTTTTTTTCTACACAGAAAGAGTTTCCTAAGTACATACGTTCTCTGATATACTTTCTTTAGTAACAGCTTCTGAGTTCTGCTGGAACTTTATTGATACGTTGGTATTCGAATTACATTTTCTGGGAACACAGCAATGTAACACATTACGTTTTAAATGCATTACTATGTTACAATATAACTAGGGAACAAGGCTATAATTAGTTATTAATGCAGCAAAATCCTAGCTGAACGTGACCTTGAGAAGCATCTGATGCATGCAGCACGAGTGCTTGTATAAATTTCAGCATGAAAAAAAGTGCTGGATCTGTTTAGGAATGTATTGTGACAGTGCTGTATGTCACAGATTGCTAATCAGCCTAAAATAACAAAGCAGAATGTGAATAAAGTGATGTAACCCTCTGTAATAGTTCAATGTTGAATTAATGAAAGAACCACAATTTTGACTATGTAGTGTATTTTGTGTATGTTGTGAGTATCAAAGAAACTTGAAAGTAATCTGATTATTTTGTTACACCATAATTCATCAGTAGTTCACAGTAATTTTCATGCAGTAATTTTAAATCGTTACCTTAGAATTATAAGGTTCTATCTGACATTTTTGTCAAAATTTAGTTATTCTCGGCGCAATAGCCTAGTGATTAGCGCACAGACATATGGTGCAGTAGCACATCAGGGCATCCCAAGTTCGAATCCTGACTCGAGTACATTTCACAACTCTAGCCCCCTCTCTCTTCCCCACTTAGCTTGCTGTCCTATCTAATACTGTCCTATCTAATAAAGGCAAAAATGCTAAAAATAAATCTTTAAAAAATAAAATAAAATTGAGTTATTCACATATTCTTATTAAATGACAACTTATTTACATTAAATGATGTTTTTTATAAGTTTTCTACATTTAAAAACTTTTTATTTAAAAACAAATGTTACACACATATTGTTTGCTTTAAAAGCTTTAAGGCTCATTATTTTAAAATCATTCAGTAATGAAATGTTTATTAGTTGATGAAATCTATTAGTTTTTTTTAAAGTAACTTATCCAACATTGGTAATTAATAACATAATTAGTTTTCATATTTGGGTGAGCTAATCTTTTAGTAATAACATATTTCTTCATGCTTGCACATGTTTTCATTGTTGGTATGTTCTGATTTATCCTGCACAATTTAGATGGTTCTATAAAGACATCACGAGAAAGGATGCAGAGAGACAGCTGTTGGCACCGGCTAATAAACCTGGATCTTACCTCATACGGGAGAGCGAAACCTCAAAAGGTGATTACTATTTGCTGTCTGAACTCAAAGAGAGTTTGTGGTTAATCAAAATAGTGGTTTAACGTTTTTCTGCATTGTTGTGAACAGGAAGTTATTCACTATCGATCAGAGACGTAGACGCTCAGGGCCAGGATGTTGTTAAACATTATAAGATCAGATCTCTGGATAATGGCGGTTACTACATCTCCCCAAAGATCACGTTCAGTGACATCAGCAGCATGATAAAACATTACCACAGTAAGTACTAAGGATGCAAACATTTTAGAGTTATTTAGAATACTGACCTTGTGTATAGTATAGCTATTGAACGTAGTAAAAAAGTGGTTCACCCAAGAATTTAGACGTTATTTAGAATACTGATGTGATTTACAGTATGTTAATTGATTGTATTAAAGGAGTGGTTTATCCAAAAATGAAAATTGCCTAATCATTTATTCTCCCTTGTATGATTTTGAACCTTTATGATATTTTTTACTCTGTTGAGCACAAAAGAAGATATTTTTAAAAATGATGTTGCACACATTGACTTCAATAGTAGGAAAAACACTACTGGAGGTTAATGAGTGCCAGCTACCAGCATTCTAAATATCTTCTTTTGTGTTAAACAGAAGGAAACAATTGGTGAAGAATGAGTAAATGATAGCAGAATTTTCATTCCTGGTTTAAACTACCCCTTTAAATGTATTTAAAGTAAAAGGCAGTGTTGCCAACTCATTTTCTGTGGATGTTCCTAATTGCAGTTGTTTTGTTTAATGAGGTTGTGATGTCATTGTGCAATGATGTCGTTAGTGAATCATAACGCACAACATTGCAAAGAACACAAAGTAAGATTTCTTAAACTGGTAATCGTGGTGAAATTTTTGACTTAAAATCTTAATGTAAAGTTGTTTGAAAAAATGTTATAAAACATATTTGTATGAAAAGTAATAGAAATGTTTAAATGTTTTTAGTGATTTGATGAAAAAATAAAATGATACTTTAATGTGTTCTTATACTTTAAAATACACATTCTGAAAAATTAAACATTTTATATACATCAGTATATTAAAAATTAATATGCATTTCTAAAGCATTTCTTTATTTATTCTATATACACTGGGGAAAAAATTCAGCAAAATTGTTGCAAACGATTTATATTGGCTGAATATAAACAAACTAATTAATTTTAGTAATGTTCAACTTATTTTTTTTGTTTATTTGTTACAGCCCAAATAAATAGTTTGCAACCACTTAACCTAAAAAAAAATGTAAATCCAAGGATCCTTTTTTTATATAATTTTTTTTCTAGTGTTGCTGTTTTCTAGTCTAGACACTAGTGTATCTAGTGTCGTTTCCTTATTTTGTGTAGTTTAGAGAGAAAATTCATTAATTTTATTTTAATTAGAAAAAAAAACATTGCTTGGTTAGTCTAAACCTGTGCATTTTGTAAAAAAGTAAAGTGTTGCCAACTCATTTTCTGTGGATGTTCCTTGCAGGTTGATTTGTTGCTAAAAGTTGTTAAATGAGGTTGTGATGTCATTGTGCAATGATGTTGTTACTTAACCATGACGCACCACATGTCAAACAACACAAAGTGAGATTGCATAAACTGGAAATCTTTGTGAAATATATGACTTAAAATCTTTTATATTTGTATTTAAAGTAATGTTTAAATATTTTTAGTGATTTTAATTAAAAAATAAAATGACACTTTAATGTATTCTTATACTTTAAAATACACATTCTGAAGCATTATACATTATATTGGTTTATTGGAAATTAATATGTATTTCTAAAGCATTTTTTTTATTTATTCTATATTTTAAATCTTGGTAAAAATATGACTTGAAATCTTAATTTAAAGTTGTTTTTATAAAACATATTTGTATAAAAAGTAATAGAAATGTTTAAAAAAAATTGTGATCTGGTTAAATAAATGACACTTTATTGTGTACTAATACTTTAAAATACAGATTCTGAAGAATTTTATCAGTATATTGGAAATTAATATGCATTTCTAAAGCATTTCTATATTTATCCTATATACACTAAAAAAATATTTCTGCAAAATTGTTGCAAACAATTTATAAGGGCTTAATTTAAACAAGCAAATTAAATTTAGTAATGTTTAAGGTTTTTTGTTTGTTTGTTTCAGCCCAAAAAAAATGTATGCAACCACTTAACTTAACTTAATCTTTATTAAATCATTTTTCTTCAGTGTAGCTGTTTGGTCGTTTTCTCATTTTATGTAGATTATGGGAAAAATTAATTCATTTTTATTTTCATTAGAAAAAACATTGCTTGGTTAGTCTAAACCTCTGCATTTTGTCACAGAACAGTCAGATGGATTATGTCGAAAGCTGGATAAAGCATGCGAGAAACCTAAAGCGCAAAAACCTTGGGACAAAGATGCCTGGGAAATCTCTAAAGACTCCATAAAGATGGTGAAGAAACTCGGAGCTGGACAGTTTGGAGAAGTATGGATGGGTGAGTTAAAGAGCACCTATGATGAAAATTATATGTTGGAAGCTGTTTGGACAGAACTGTGTGTAGATATAGTGTGTACACAGTCATATTGAGGACATATAAAGACAACAGGCCTTTTTTTTTTAATTTCCTGATGTTAAAATAGGATCCAAATCCCTCCCATTTTGATGCAGACTGCAATGTGATGTAGAAGTGCGGTTTCCCTGCCCATCAATTTGATTGACAGCCGCATATTAACATGTCTCTGTAGTAACGCTTATAATCATATCAACAAGACATGATGTGTGCAAAGCAGCTGGGATGAAAAAATCTCTGTGATAATCATTAAATGTGAGTAAGAACGAGTTTTACATGTTTAAAACATTTTTAAACTACAGCAATTTTACCGTCTTTACTTTATTACCACAGCCACATGTCAGCACTTCAATCCCAGTTTGTGGACGTTAAATCAGGTTTATTTTGTACATTATCATAACAGATATCCATATAGCAGTGGATATTAACATTTATCCTGTCACATTTACCATGCAAAAACAGTGCAAAGTTAAACACACGCGCTATGTGTGTCTGTGTATGTGCGTGAACTTTGTTAAAATATTGTGTGTGTCTTATCATTGCAGAAAGGCTTGAATTAACTCCACAACAAATACATCAAATAATCATTGGGAAAGTTCATCCTGTATTTCTCACAAATGTTACGTGAGATCTGCTTTCTTTTTGTCTGTCACTTTGCTGTTTATCTGACGCAGCCAAGGCGGAGATTGCAGCAAACTCTGACAGGCACATGGGAACGGTGGGCAGAGAGAAATAGCATTAAAGGCACAGGCAACAATAACAGCTACATTGCATTCAGAGCAGAACATTTCAGTGTTCTGAAAGGTATTATAAATTATCTGAAATAGCTGAAAATGTACAGACACATTCAGGAGACACAAAAGACTAATCTTAAATTTTGTAAAAGGGGGTAAAGTAGATGCCTTTTAGGGAAATGAAAACAACTTCACATTATCAATGATTTGCAAGAATTTTCCTGAAGTGACAAACATTTGATTAAATGGAGCACTCCACTTCACTTTTTTGCATATGCTCATTTTACAAGTCCCCTAGAGTTTTACCATTTTTTGAATTCATTAAGCTTATCTCCGGGTCTGGACAATCTTTTCACTTTTAGCTTAGCTTAGCATAAATCAGTGAATCAGATTAGACCATTAGCATCTCAAAGATCCATTTTTTTCTTGTTTAAAGCTTGAATATTGATGTTGATATTGTACAATTATATTATGAAGCGCCTGGAAATAGTCCCCTGTCGGATATTTAGGTAACAGTGCTCATACAGCCGAAATTTGATCAGCAAAGTTCCTTGATTATTATGCTAGAATGAGTTCCAAGCCATATCGGTCTTTAAAATAGCAACATGTAATTTCCTCTCCGTTTTAGTACTTAATGAAACTACAGAAGAGTCAAGCTTTAAATAGAAAATGCATAAATACTCTTTTCATTGTTTGTTTTGTGCAAGATGCTAATGGTCTAACCCGATTCAATGATTTATGCTAAGCTAAAAATGAAAATCAACTGAATAGATTCAAAAAGGGTAAAACTCATCTTCAACTCTAGATGATTTGTAAAATGAGCCCATTTCCAAAAAAAAAAAGTGTTCCTTTAACCATGGAGCATTTCCTTATCCAGAAATCTTACTTGCTAAACTACAGCGAAAGTGTTTGCTGTCTTCTTGATGGTCTTTGTATTCAAATTCTCTAAGATCCCCAAAGCCTAAGATCAAACCCTCCCCCCGGATTCATATGCTCCTCAGTGAGCTTAGAAGTGACATCCTTCTGTGTTTCTATCGATTAATCAAGCGAAAGGATCTTCTTTGAACATGTGTAGGCTTATTGTTATTATCGAATTCTTTGAGCCATAAAAGCTTTGACGAAGCGCATTCAAATCTGCAGAGTTCCTGCTGGGGCTGCTGGCTGCTATGAATGGCTGCCTTATAGCTCAGGCTGATAGTACACAGAGAGCCGCGCAGGCGAGACTCTTATCAGGCTGATCAGAGGAGGAAACTGCTATGCAACTGACGCAGGATTTGCATTTGGATGTCGTTATTATTCGTGTGCCTCTTTCCCATTCGGCTGACGTGATGAATTGCAGGAAACGGTCTTAGCAAATATACAAATGGCTCTCGACCGCCCGTGGCCAAGATGTTTCCTTTGGCGCACCGTGACCTTGTTGGCGCAGCGTTGCCAGACCTTAAACACACATTGAGTCTGTATGATGACAGAATCTTTCTACGGAAATACTTCCTTCTGTTTGCCAAGCCCCATTTTGTTTTGTCTCAGCAAATTTTGAGACAAACTATCACACTTAGATAAGGAGTGTGCGATATTGACTAAAAATACATCTTGGCATTTTTTAGATAACAATAATTAAACAATATTTTACTGGGTGTTTTGTGTTGGTACTTTATATATAATATTCTACACGTAAATAATGTGGATAACATTAAATAAATATTTTTCATAAGGTTAGATTTTAATTATTAGTCATTCAAACCTATTTAAGTAAAGTTAACTTAGCATTAAGGATTGAATCATCATTTAGCATGCAATGTGTTGTGGGCAATATTTGCCCGTAGAGTGAGGAACTAGGAAGTGAGGAACTTGGAAGTGTTAACTTAATTTTTATAATTATATGCATAGTTTAATTGCATTAAAGTGGAAGTACCAGAATTTTTATAACTACTTGGATTACCATAGCAGTCATTCTGACTGTTCTCATATAAGAGGTCATATTGTCATGTCATATTTACATTCAGGGGTGGCACGGTGACGCAGTGGGTAGCAATATTGTCTCACCGCAAGAAGGTTGCTGGTTCGAGCCCCAGCTGTGCCAGTTGGCATTTCTATGTGGAGTTTGCATGTTCTCCCTGTATTTGTGTGGGTTTCCTCCGTGTGTTTCGGTTTCCCCGCAGTCCAAAGACATGCACTATAGTTGAATTGGGTATGCTAAATTGTCTGTAGTGTATGTGTGTTTGTCCAGGTCCTCCAGGTTGGGGATTAAACTTTGGGTTAACGACCCACCTTGTAAAAATGAGATGCTATGAAATATCAATACGTGGTGCAGTAAATTTCAACTTCAATGTAAACCTCCCTGGAAGTAAGTATATGTTCATATTTGGTCATATATTATATTTCTACATGGGCTCCAAAATAGACAATTAATTACATAAAAGCACAATTATTTTTAGACAATTAATCGTCTGCCAAATTTAATACAATTTATTTAATTACAACAGCTTCAGCTAAAAGTCTTGTTTAATTCTCCTACTGACAAAAAAAAAAAAAAATCTACATTTGTTTCTAGCCTGAGTGTAAGTTATAAACATCAAGTAATAATATTAACATTCAAAGCTTCTATTGAGATGCTACATTTAAGCTTTGAATGTCTGTTGTCATATTTAATTAAGTCATCACCATAAAAATAAGTTTTTTTTGGTAATACAGCCTATAAATGTTTTGTTATGCTAATAGACCACCCACTTTCATTTTCACTAGCGGGGGAGAAGGCTTTTTAACTGTACTAAATATGTTATTTGGAAGACATATCTGAAGTAAAGTTATGTTTTTTTATCAGGAAGTTGCTAGACATCAGAGGCATGCATATTTAAATTAAAGGGGGAAAATCGCAGACACTGAAATTGCATGTGGTCATTTTGACTGCTATATAGAAATATTATTAGAAATACTTGAAATACCATAGCTCTTTTGTGTTTTGTAGTTTTAATAAAATAACATATAATAACATAAAATAATAATGTTCTAAAAATATACACGTATTTAAAAAATTATTTAGGCATTATAGATATGTGTTTTACTTCAACAAAGTTTTTAAATTGAAAAAAAAAAAAACTGTCAAAATTACCGCTTTGGTGTTGATAATTTTGCACCATCGGATCTACTCTTTTTTTTTTTTTTTTTTTTTCGAAGTAAAAAAACTAATTGCTTTAAAAGCAATGGGTTCACTCATTTTTTAATGTGAAGTCAACCAATCACTTTTTACAGCGCATTCATGGTTGTGCTATAGCTTTGTTTGGAGCTATTTTTACTGGTGAGAAAGAAGAAACACAAGAATAAATCTGAAATGTATCTCAGAAGTAAACTGTTGAATATAATGTTCCTCATTCAATAGTGAACTTCTTTAAAATCAAAAGTGGTAAAACCACATTTGTTATTATAATGCTCATTAGTGTTATCGTGTCTATATTTTGATACATATTGCAATATTTGAAACGGTATATCACTTTTACTTCATATTGATATATCATATTGTCTATCCCACTGTTTCCCTTTATTCATGGATCCAGAGTTTTAGCTGGTAATTTCATAGTTGATGTAAACGTCATGCATGTCTCCAGCTTTCATTCGTTTCATGTGCAAAAAGAAGTAGAGGAATCTTTTCTGGTGCAGTATGGATGCACCTCTCAGTGCACAAATGCTGAGCTCATTTTACACGTTGGATTTTAACAGATAAATAATGTGAAAAAGTTACATCTAAAGTCATGGAAGAAAGTTCTCAAAGTGACAGTAACCTGCTGCTGTTACTAACATCAAAAACAAAATCACTATTAGATACCTGAAGTATGTTTACCATCCAACAGTTTAGTTGGAATTTGGTTATTTGTTTATTACAGACTGTTCAGTTGTCTTCAATAATGTTATAAATGGTTATGAGTTAAGCTAGTAGTTTGTATTTAAGAATTAATTTATTATTATTTATTATTATTATTAGTAATCTTACATGGTTCAAAACAACAAAGCAACATTTTTTGAATTGTTAAAACAAATCCATCCATTTTTTTTTTGCTTATTTTTTTTTATTTTTATTTTTTTATTTATTTCACTTTATTATTTTTAATAAGGATTTCTACAACTGTTTGGCCAGGCTAGTTGTTTAGATTTTCTCTTGACCTGCCAAAATTTGCCTCACAGCAAGAAGGTTACTGGTTCGAGCTCTGGCTGGGCCAGTTGGCAGTTCTGTGTGGAGTTTGCATGTTCTCCTCGTGTTCGCGTAGGATTTTCAGGTGCTCCAGTTTCCCCCACAGTCCATACACATTCGCTATTGGTAAACTGGATGAACTAAAATTGATCGTAGTTAATGAATGTGTGTGAATGTGAGCGTGTATAGGTGTTTTCCAGTACTGGGTAGCGGCTAAAAGGGCATTCACTGAGAAAAATATGCTGGAATAGTTGTCGGTTCATTCCACTGTGGCGACCTATGATAAATGAGGCTGAAGGAAAAAGTATGAAAATTTTTATTTTAGCTATATAAGTGAAAATTTTGGCAGGCCTGGACAAATAGTTCTAAATAAATAGATAGACAAATCCTAAATAAATAAATAAATGGATGAATGTATGGATGGATAGATAGATTTTAAACATTACTGAATTAAACTGAACAATCTGTAATAAACAAATAACCATATTCCAACTAAAGAGAAATCCTTAATATTGAGCTATGCTTGAGGTTTTATCTCTGGCGTATGAAAGAATAAAGACATGCATATTGTTAGTTAAATTCAGGCTGTGGTAATATTTCCCCATGGTATCAAAAGCGGCATTGAGAAGGTAAGGTACTGTATTGAAGTTAGAAATCCTAGTATCAAAAACACTAATCCTCATACGCTGATATTAAAAAACTAATAATGTGTGAGTAATGTGTGAATAATTGGGTGAATAATGTAAAGAATTGTGTGAAAACTATATATTTTACTTGATTTTTTTTAAACTTAATGTTTTTCTTATACTCAATAGACTTCATCACATATGTTTGATGTTTTTGTAAAATTATTGATATACTTTAATAATGAACTAATGCATAATATAAACATCGATTATGATATTGTCATAGATGATAAATAATCACACAACCCTAGCTCAAACGCCCATTTGGTCCACAAAAGTCCACAAACTGCGGAAATTAGTATGCAAACCGCTTCAGATGTGGAAGTTGTCTGTATTGTTAAACAGACAAGGAAATGATTTTAAAGTGGAACAAGGCATAAGCACGAACACACAGCTCACGATTGTGAAACAAATCTGTTGCCTTTAGCTTCTCTGTGGTCAGTAACTGTCCTTCAAGCAGTGGCGCTGTGTCATCACTTCTGAGAAAAGTACTTTATTATGGACAGACGGTAATTACATAAGATCCTTGGTGAGAACATGGGAAAGGTTCCAGGAAGACGATTCTTTCTATAAAAGGTTTTTCAGGACAGACTGACTGTTCCTTCATCGACGCTGACAAGTTAGATTCAGCCATTTTGTGTTTTGTTGCTGAACTGCAGCTGTGTGAGGCATTGAAAATGTTTGTAATAGTCAGAGAGGACATTAACGGATGTCTATTTGTGGTTTCATTTTGTTTCTAGCCTTCTACAATAACAGCACCAAAGTGGCAGTGAAAACTCTGAAGCCAGGCACAATGTCAGTGGAGGCGTTTCTAGAGGAGGCCAACCTGATGAAGACCTTACAGCACGACAGACTTGTGCGTCTCTATGCTGTCGTCACCAAAACTGAGCCCATCTACATCATCACTGAGTACATGGCTAATGGTACTGAAATACAGACTCTTCTGATTATTAATGTGCAGTAAAAAAAGATGGCACTATCTATCCTATCTATCTATCTATCTATCTATCTATCTATCTATCTATCTATCTATCTATCTATCTATCTATCTATCTATCTATCTATCTATCTATCTATCTATCTATCTATCTATCTATCTATCCATCCATCCATCCATCCATCCATCCATCCATCCATTCATCCCTCCATCCATTCATCCCTTCATCCATCCATCCTTCTATCAATCCATCATCCATCTCTCTATATATCCATTCATCCATCCCTTCATCCATCCATCTATCCATCTCTCCATCATCTATCCCACTGTCCATCCCTCCATCTGTCCATTCATCTATCCATCCATCCATCTATCCCTTCATCCATCCCTCCATCATCCATCCCACCATCCATCCCTCCATCTATCTATCCATCCATCCATCCATCCATCCCTTCATCCATCCCTCCATCATCCATCCATCCATCTCTCTATCCCATCATCCATCCCTTCATCCATCCATACCTCCATCCATCCCTCCATCTCTCTATCCATCCATCTATCCTTTTATCCATCCATCCATCAGTCCATCCATCCATCTATCCATCTCTCTATTCATCCATCCATCCCTTCATCCATCCATCTATCTAAAAAAAATGCCATTTGCTTTTTGCTTTTTGTTTTATTTTATTAACCCTGAAAACAAAATGAGACATCTTGAGGATGACGATTTATTTTTAATAATTAAAAAATGATAATTACTTTTTACAGTTTACATATGATATATAATTTATCATACACTCTCAGTAATAAAGGTACGCGAGCTGTCACTGGGGTAATACCTTTTTAAAAGGTATACATTTGTACTTAAAGGGTCCATAATGGTACCTCAAAAGTATAAATTAGTACCTTAAATGTTTAGAGGAAAATTTTTGTACTTTTAAGGTACTAAAATGTACCCTTGATGTATTATTTATGGATCTTTTAAGGTACAAATTTGTACCCTTTGAAAAGGTACCACCCCAGTTACAGCTCGCGTACCTTTATTTCTGAGAGTGTATGTATTATAATTAAAGAAAAGTGTAGTTTAGTGAAAAGTTGTACCCTCAGTGACTTTAACAGTATTTCGTTTATTCTTTTGCAGGAAGCTTATTGGATTTCTTGAAAAGTCAAGCTGGCTCCAAAATACAGTTACCAAAGTTGATAGATTTTTCTGCACAGGTATAAAGAAAGTTTAAAACATGAATTATTCTTCTTTTCTCAAGCCCATCATTTCCTTATTTCTGAGGTTACTTTAAGGCTTTATTGCATCATCAAAGGCTGATCTCACTTTTTCCATTAAAAAAGAGGAACTGATACTAGTTTCAGTAGGCGGTTCAAAGCACAGAACAATATTCATTTTACTAGGAATGAAACATTTAATTTGATCTGTAAATAAAACTTTAAATGTGTGTTCTAAAAAGAGGTGGAAACCTAAATAAATCTTGAAACTTATATTGATAAATTGAATAAATGAAAAGATATGTCTTGTTAAAATGGTATGGACTTCAGACAGTATTTACCATCCTATACGATTAGATTCAAAACCAGTCGCTGATTTAAAAGCATTTGTTTGCTAAATGAGTCTTTTGGACTTCATTTGAGTTTGGCTTCTTGTAAAACAGCACCAAAAGGCAAACTTGCACATCCTGTTTCAGAGAGTGAAAGAGGATGCTAATGGAGAAGTGAGAACATCATTTTCCCTGAGTTAGTGCAACTTTTCTCTGTTAGAATTAACTGAGAAACTTTGCCCATTTCAGAAGTGGAAAAACCCCGCACAAACTGCACATTTACTGTTCAAATGCAAATTCTGCAAAATGTAGAGGCGTTCTTTATGGTTGCAAATACTGTTGTTTTGAAGTTTAGGCTTGTAAGATATTTTTCCCTTTTAGCTTTGTTTGTATAAGTCAACATTAGTTAAAAGATTAGTTGACTGATTAATGATAAACAGCACATCTGTCGAGCAATACATAGTATTTTTAAAGGGCACCTAGGTTACCCCTTTTTTTAGATTTAATTAGATTAGATTAATTAGTATTAGATTAAGTCTTTTGCGTCTCTAGAATGTGTAAATAAAGTTTCAGCTCAAAACACTCATCAGATTTTTCATTATACCTTTTACAAGATCCTGTTTTATACACGTTTCCACCCGGGGGTGGTTTTGTCGTACTGCATCTTTAAGACGAGTCTTCCCCGCCTACTGTTTCTACGTGCCTTCCCGCGTGCTTTAATCTCCTCCCTCGGCTGCGTCAGACAACAGACAGACGTAAAGGAAGAAGGTCTCACGTAGCGTTTGTGAGAAACACTAAAGTAAGAGCTTTACTAATCAGTATTTGTTGTGAGGTTGCATTGATGAGTCACATGCAATGTCGTTACAAAGTTCACGTGCGCGCGCACACACACACAGATACACACGCCCACCGCAGCTGACACACTCACAGATACACACGCACACAGCAGCTGACACACACACACACACACACACACACACACACAGACAGGCAGACAGAGCGCGCTTAGCTTAGCACAGTTTTTGCACTCAAATGTGACAGGATACAGGCTAACCTCCACTGCTGTCTGGATATCTGTAATGTTATTGTACAAAATAAACCTGATTTAACGTCCACAAACCAGGATTGAAGCATCTTCTTTTATACAGTAATTGTTCTGACACGCTGCTGTGCTGATGAAGTAAAGCTGAAGTAAATGGCTGTACTTCATTACACACTTGCACTGTTTTAAAACACTTTAAATATGTAAAACCTACTCCTGATCACATCTGATGATGATTGATGATCCTAGCGAACTGAACAGACTTTTTATTCCCGGTTGCTTTGCGTAAGTCTGGTCTTGTTGACATATACACGTGACTACCGGGACATGTTAATGTCAATCAATTCGGTGGGCGGACGCACTCCTACGTAAAGTTGCGGTCGGTCTAAAAACCGCTCCAATTGGTCCGCCGTTTTTATGTTGTTAAATTGAAAAAAAGGACTGGGTGTGTTTATATCACCCCAATATGATGGTCTATACACTATATACACATATGTTTGTCCAAATAGCTTGAAAAGTAGATTTTTCACCACAGGTGCCCTTTAATGTTTACTAAACATATATTATGAGTTAATGCAGAGTTAGATAACAACACTTAATGGATTTATGGTGAACAACTTTGTTCAGCAAAACATACTCTTTTTTTAATGTTAACTTACTCACATTGCCATAACTTAATGTTTCTTGTTCTTGTAACTTAACATGTCTAGCTATACAACTTAAATTCCCGAGTTACAACAACTTTATTCTTCTGCTTCTCATAAATACTAATACTATATTTGTATGCTTACATTAACAAAGCTTTAGTATTGCTGAATAAATTTGTTCATTGTTAGGTCATGTTATCTAATCTGTTATTAAATACATTAGTGTATGTGTAAAACTTTAGCTGTTAATGTAAAAAGATGCACTATAATGCAAGTTAACGTTAGCAAAGATTATGTAATGTAGATCATAGTAATGTTAACTAATGCATTAACTGATATTAAAGTATTAAAGTATTAAAGCTCCACACTGTTTTGTTTTATTTTAAAGAGCCCATATTATACATGAAATAGGGTCATATCCTGGTTGTAAGGGTCTCCAACAACAGTCTAATATGCATGCAAGGTCAAAAAACACTTTCATGGTCTTATAATCTGCATTTATTTTTACCTAATTATCCCAGCGACTCCTGTATGAATCGTCCAGTGATTCATTTGTTCCCAAACCCCTCCTTAGCGCGGAGCTAATCTGCGCTGATTGGACCGATGACAGTCTGTCGCGATTGGTCGACTGCCTTCAGTCAGAGAGGGAAATGGCCAATAGCTAATCAGCAATTTAAAAAGTAATCACAGTTCATACACGCTCGATAGTATAGACGTGGATTTTAGCTGCCACACTATGGCGAGTGGATAGTGCCACGGATAACCGAACGAAGGAGACAGTCGTGTACTGGCCATACCACACACACACAAAAACACACACACACCTCCGGATGACAACGCTCCCGCTTCCGCCCGCACCCGCCAGGTTTTAGCCTGAGAACCCGCTCCGTTTTCTGCCCGCCGCGCCCGGTCCCGCTAGAGCGGAGAACACAACCAAAAATCACCCAGTATACAGTCCAGACAGCCAAGCTGTCGTTCGTTCGTTCGCTCTCTCCTTCTCTCTCACGCGCGCGTGCGCACTAACACACACACAAGCACCACGCAGACTCTCTCTTTCTAATTCGCATAGCAATATCCGTGATATTGCTAGACAGCCCGCTCCCGTCCCAAATTAAACCCGTTACCGACCGCTCCCGCGGTTTATTCGGAAATTTATTCCCGCGGCTGTCCCCGCGCCAGATTTCTGTGGCGCGGGAATAAATTTCCGAATAAATCGCGGGAGCAGAACTCTAGCACGGAGCTCCATAAACAAACAGCACGCGTCGCGTTTTTAACGTGACTTTGCACGCGATAAGATCAAATATCCAGTTAACCTGATACAGTACACGCGGTTACAAGTAACAAATCACAACTAAATACATTTGCAAGCAAGAGTAAACGAGGCAACAACTTTAACCGCACGTACTTACACTTGAGAAATGGAAGAAACCCATCCTGACGTCCATCAGTTACTCTTTACTGATCCTTCCTTTAACAAACTCAGATGAAGTATTCTTTGTAGCATGTAGCTTCCAGAAGTTTCCAACTGCTTGGTTATAATGCTGAGGTTTCATCTTTGGGTAGAGACTCAATATATCCATCTGCAGTGTGACTTCAATCGACCGGCATGTTTGTGTGCGTGTGTTTGTGGGTGTGCGTGTGTTTGTGGGTGTGTGTCTGGGTTTCTGCGTCAGAGGGCGGGGCCTCAGGTTTGAAATCTCCCGGGTTTGCGCGTGCACGTGAATAACTTTGTTTCGTTCGTACGTCATGGCGAAACACCTAATGAGTCGGTATCAAGGCGACTCGTTTGAAGCACTATGAGTCGACTCTTTTATAGATGAATCAACCGTTTTAAACACTGTATTCTTACAGATTTAAGCCTTAGCTGGATACTTCGCTTCACTTAGAGCTGTGTTACACACTACATGGAGGGGAATTTTCAAAAACCCATAATATGGGCTCTTTAAAATGTCATTTATTATTCTGATGGCAAAGCTAAATGCTCTGCGTCATTTCTTCTCTGATGTTCGAAAATCTTTTTTGATTGCTTAATCTGTACATTATCCTGTCCTGAGTTTGTCTTTTGTTAACAGCCAACCTTTTGAGGGGACTTGATTGAGTTAGTGACATTTAAAAATGCTAAATTCTAGAAATCAAATTTGTCTTTCTGTGGCTGAGAGGATCATTGATTTTGTCCTTCGTCTGGAGAACCTGTTGTCTGAGAACTTCAGTCACTTTAAGATACCCCACTATTTTGCAAAATCAGAGAAAACTTAAGCAGTGACCTCAAAAATGTTGTCTAATCTTGTTGTCCACTGTGTAAAGTTCAAAATAACAGCCTTTATTACAAATGAAATGCAATTAAATAAAAAAAATAGAGAGAGATCATATGTTTATGCTAAATAATAGGAGGCTACACATAAAATACTTAGTTGTTTTAATCCAACCCTGCTTTTGGGGTAAATTTATAATCCCATTTTTGAGACAACCGTTGAGTTGGGTCATGTTTTAAATCAGCCCACTATTTTTAGAGTGTGTAAGTGTCTTAAAAAGCTGATATTTGTGTGTCTCCAAAGCTAAGTTTGTGTGTCTCTGCAGATAGCCGAAGGAATGGCCTACATTGAGAAGAAAAACTACATCCACCGAGACCTGAGAGCAGCTAATGTGCTGGTTTCAGAGATGCTGCTGTGCAAAATAGCTGATTTTGGCCTGGCCCGAGTAATTGAGGATGACCAATACACGGCCAGAGAAGGTGAGCCTGACGTCATTGCTCCAGAAGATTGATATGCATGCTGCCATTATGATGGTTTTCCTGCATCAGCAGTGAATGATGGGATGTCTGTGAATGTCTCTATTTCAGGGGCAAAATTTCCTATCAAATGGACGGCACCAGAAGCCATCAACTATGGCTCTTTCACCATCAAATCAGATATGTGGTCCTTCGGGGTTCTCCTGTATGAGATTATAACATACGGGAAAATTCCTTATCCAGGTAATGTGATTGTGTTAATGGCGCTCTGATTACATTTGTGTGAAAATAAATCATTCAGCATTATTTCAGGACACGAGCTGCAGCACTGAGCAAGGAACAATGACAAATCTGATCCTTTTGGCAAGACTTTGTCGCCATCTTCTGGTCAGATTGAGTTATAAGTACAGTTGAAGGCAATATTATTAGCCTGCTTTGAATTTTGTATTATTTTTCTAATATTACCTGTTGAATGGAGAGATTTTTTTTCATCACATTTTTAACATAATTATTTTAAAAACTTATTTCTAGAGAATAATTTCTTTAGAACATGATATTTTACTAGTTATTTTGCAAAATAATAGCACTCTGCTAACAGTGCAATCTAAAGACTTAACTGGGTTAATTAGGCAAGTCACTTGACAGAACTGGTTTGTTTTGTAGCCAATCAAATAATTATATATTTTTAAGGGAGTTAATAATTTTGAATTTATTATTTAAAAATAATAATACTTTTAATATTATTATTATTTCAGCTTTTATTTCAGCCAAACTTCAAGTAATAAGACTTTCTTCCAATTAAAGATTACAACAGGCAATAAAGTGAACATTTTCTTATTCTGTTAAACAGCACTTGAATAAATTTGATAAAAACATTGAATTAAAATATCACAGGAGAGCTAATCGTTTGTGCTTCAGCTCTACATTTTAGAGTTTCAGTTCTGGTTAGTTGGATGCTACTGAAAGTCGAAGCGTGTTATTTATGGGCTGCTAATGTTACTAGATATAAGTGCAAAACTGATGATTACTGCATGCTGGTTGTCTTGGATGCTCAGTGAGCCGTGTTGCCTTCAATTTATAAATTGTTTTCTGTATTAAACTATATTAAGGCAAGTCACTATCAGCATTTTTTTATCGACTTGCTACCTTGGGCTTTTATTACCTCTTTAATTTTGGGCCTTCCGTTTCTTCCTTCACACTTCTGGAGATAAGTTTCTCACATAGATCGATGTTTATTCCTGTCTCTGACACTATTGTGTTGATAAATCAAGTTATCAGCATTGGTGTTTGCATCAAATTCAGTTGACAAAGTACAGACATCATTATTGCCTTGCTTATGCTTTAAATCACAATTCGAAAGCGAAAGCAATTTCTTATTTTCATTGATTTATTTTTATTCATATTTAATAAATAATGACTTTTTCAGTTGTAAGTTATTTGAGTGATCACTGTCATTTTTCTTTCTTCAGTGGAAGGCTACCAACAGTTTCATCCATGTCTTCACATAAAGCTTACTAAAGCAATTATAATGTCTAATTTTATATTTCAAATAACATTAATATGCATGTGTAAAGAAAATAAATAATTTAAAGTATCTTGTTACATAACTGAACAAAACATCTTAGTGTTTTATTTATAAAAAGTGTATGATGGTTATCATTTTTGTTAAAAACAAAACCTAAAATCATATTCTGATATATGGAAAGAGTTAAATAGTATATAACATTTTAACTTGTTACATTTTGACAGATTTCTGATTTGAGTTATAGAGAAAAAAAAATGGATGCATTCATGGAAAAAGTGATATGTCTTACAATTTTTTAAGGAGTTAAAAAGACGTGCTTATTAAATGCTAACAAAATGAAGTGTTCTTGTGTTCACGTTGCAGAACACTTCTGGTGCTATTGATTGTGGGTATGGGTAAGGTTAGGGATGGGTTTGGTTGTATAGGCAAGTTAATGTGTAAAGGATGGGTCAACAGTGTAATTATAAATGTGATGACATTACAGATGCAACTAGAAAAGTAAAGTTTGTAGACAAACTTCATGGTGGCTTGAGAAAGCAGAGCCAGGAAGTTTTAAAGTTTAAATATTTGAAGCGGTTTTTAAGAAGTGAGAAGTGGTTTTGAAAGTTGGCATAAATAGAAAAGTGTACATATACAGTATGCTAGCATGTTTCTAGTATGGATTGGCATGTTTCTTGCTAGGTGGATGATAGGGGGTTCTGAGGGGTTGCTAAGTTGTTGCAAGGGTGTTCTGAATGGTTGCTAGGTGGTTGCTAAGGTGTTGCTAGGTGGTTGCTAAGGTGTTGATAGGTGGTTACTAAGGTGTTGCTAGGCGGTTGCTAAAGTATTGCTTGGTCGTTGCTATGGTGTTACTATGTGGTCGCTATGGTGTTCTGAGTGATTGCTAGGTCGGTTGCTAAGATGTTGCTAGGTGGTTGCTAAAGCGTTGCTAGGTGGTTACAAAGCTGTTGCTAAGATGTTCTAGGTCATTGCTAAGTTGTTGCTAGGTGGTTGACAGGGTGTTCTGACTGGTTGCTAGGCGGTTGCTAAGGCATTGCTAGGTAGTTGCTAAAATGTTGCTAGGTGGTTGCTAGCCAGTTGCCAAGGTGTTGCTAGGTGGTTCCTAAGTTGTTGCTAGGATTTTCTGTGTGGTTGTGAGGGTATTTTTAAGTGGTTACTGGGCAGTTGCTAACGTGTTCTGAGTAGTTTCTAAGCAGTTGTTAACTTAAACTAGCATGGTTCTAGTATGAATTAATATGTTGCTAGCATGTTTCTAGCATAAATTAACATGTCATTAGCATGGTTTTAGTAGGAATTAGCATGTTAGTAGCATGTTTTGTTGTATAAACTAGCATGTTGTTAGCATTAATTTAGTATAAAGTAACATGTTGCTAGTATGTTTATAGTATGAATTAGCATGTTGCTAGCATGTTTCTAGCATAAATTAACATGTTATTATCATGGCTTTAGTAGAAATTAGCATGTTGCTAGCATGTTTCTAGTACAAGCATGTTGTTAGTATTAATTTAATATGAATTGGCATGTTGTATGATTATGTTAGTATGTTTGTTGGCATATTAGATAATTAAGCATGATTAATCAAGATTATTATATGATCAAGATTATTTTCAGGAAATGTTTTCAATCTTAAAATGAAAAACACAGTTGGGTTGTGATGCATAAATTGGGTAATGGTGATGTCTTTTAATACTATTTTTTTACCTTGTTCATCTGTGGTGTTTTGTTGAAAAACGTCAACTCAATAAATGAGAATACTTGTGATATTTATTATTCCCCGTTCTTTATCCCTCCTGTGTTTTTCTCTTTGCTTCAGGCATGAGCAACAGCGAAGTCATGAGCAGTGTCCAGAGAGGTTACCGGATGCCCCGTCCCGAAAACTGTCCGGTTGAACTTTACGAGATCATGACCACATGCTGGAAGAATAAACCAGAAGACCGGCCCACGTTTGACTATATTCAGAGTGTACTGGACGACTTCTACACGGCCACTGAAGGCCAGTACCAGCAGCAGCCATGAGGAGCAACAGTCATCTCCCTCAGATTATTGCACTGTTTCCAGATGGATGATCAAAACATCTGTGATTTATCTTTGAATCTTACTAATGTGTAACTAATAATTGGATCAATCTGCTTACCCGTATGTAAGCACGGTTAAGATTGCCTATCTCTGCTTCAAATTGAAGTTTTAACTGCTTATTTGCTCTTCCTCCGCACATTTCAACTGCATTTCAAACTGTAAATAATTTGATATTTCAGAGTTCTACGTTTTTATACACCAGGTTTGTCTTTCTTTCTCAAATGTGAGCCGCTGTGGGGTCTGAAAGCAAATTAGGATTGATTTACATAACAGACAATTTTACTTACGAATAAGATATATATATATATATATTAGAAAATTGATCAGTGTTCCCAGTGTTTGGTTTAACGCTGTTTCAGAAGCATATTTAGTATGAAAACTTATTAATACTATTCAAGTCTACTTGGCATTAACAAATATACAGCTAATCTTTAAATACTACAGTAATTTATAAACATACTGCAGTGTTTTTGAACCATATTATATAATAAATTGTATTGTACTACATTCTACACTGGGCATCACGGTGGCGCAGTGGGTAGCACGATCATCTCACAGCAAGAATGTCACTGGTTCAAGCCTCGGCTGGGTTAGTTGGCATTTCAGTGTGGAGTTTGATGTTCTCAGTGTATGAGTGTGGATGAGTGTGTATAGATGTTTCCCAGAAATGAGTTGCAGCCGGAAGGGCATCCGCTGCGTAAAACATATGCTGGATAAGTTGGCGGTTCATTCCGCTGTGGCAACCTCAGTTTAATAAAGGGACTGAGCCAAAATGAATGAATGAATTAATGTATTTTATATCGGTGTTTCTCAACCACGTTCCTGGAGGAGCACCAGCTCTGCACGTTTTCCACGTCCTTAACCAAACACACCTGATTCAGATCATCAGCTCATTAGCAGAGACTGAAAGACTTGTAATGTGTGTGACGGACAAAACATGCAGAATTGGTGGTTGAGAAACACTGTTCCATATTGTAGCATTTTTGTTAATACCGCATACTGTAGTATCAAATGTCATTTACTGATATACTAATAAATACTGTAGTACATTAAAATGCTTACTATAGTAAAGTGTGGTGAATTGTAATATATATTTAGTGCAGTTTTGGTGTAATCTGTTTATATGCCACAGAAACTACAACAATAGATTCATTCAAGTACTTTACTGCAGTATGGTTCAATAACACTACAGTATTTCCTTTTTCATATGGGTATTTCAGTAGGAATGATTTCTCTTATTTGCATTCAGTTTAAAAAAAATTATTATTTTAATTGTAATACTGATTTAATGAAATTCATGCACTGGTGTATGATCTTACATGATCATTGTGTTTTAAAGTCATTTTCATAAACAGCTTTCAATTACAGTTTTGAGAATGTTATGACAATAATGAGCAGCGGCACCGCACAATATTTTATTATATATATATTTTTTGTAATTAAGCTTACAAATTGTTGATTGTGATTTTTTTGCTAAGAATGAAATGCATTGTACATTTAAAATATTCTGTACAGTTGTACATTAGACAAATAATAAAATTCATCTTTTGTGATTAGTAAAACCTTTTTGCATGGAGTTTCTTGACAACATTCTCTCCTTGCACTTTATTTTACAGTGCATTTACTTAGTGTGCTAGCAGTGTACTTACTAAGAGAAAAACATTGAGGTAAAGTTGCTTTTACATACACACATTCAATCAGTGACAACTCGTGATATGCTCCCTATATTGTTTACCATGGTACTTTGAATATTCAGTATGGAAACACATATGAGTATTACTTTAAAACAACATTAGCACTATTTATTTGACAGTGAACAATGTTGTACTTGATGTGCTGCTAATATGATTCCACTATTTATTGATTCATTTTCCTTCAGCTTAGTCCCTTTATTAATCAGGGGTCACCACAGTAAAATGAACCGCCAACTTATCCAGCATATGTTTTACCCAGTGGATGCTCTTCCAACCGCAATACTCCTATACTTCATGACTTTGGGTTGTGGGGGACTCGACACAGAAATGCTAACTGACTCAGCTGGGACTCGAACCAGCAACCTTCTTACTGTGAAGCGACAGTGCTAATCACTGAGCCACCCTGTCTATGATTCCACAATTTAGAATTTGCAAATATTACTTTTCTGAAATGATAATATTAAGGAGAAAGTCTGAATGTGTGACTGACTATTAAATCAACTTTACCTCAACAGAAAATACTGGGTTTTATTTGGCTGTGGGTTAAAGTTAATTTGCATGATACTGTGCACTACATTACGCATGTGTGCATACAGTGCATAACAGGACTCAAATAAAGTGCTACCAATACTAACACTTCAAGCGAAAATGAACCATGATTTTACTACTGATAAATCCAATAAAAGCCGGTTATTCTCCTATTATGTTAACCACAAATTGCTAAACATTGCTAAAAGTTTTGCAATACAAATTGCAGTTTAAGCATATTGTAAACACAAGGTTATACACATGATCATCAATACGCCATAAAACGTTCAAGATAAAACCATTGTTCATTTTATGTAGGGATGTTGCCATCCAAAAAGAAATTAGGTCTACCTGATGGGAGAATTCATATTCGCCTAAAAGGGTCAATTCATTTTTTCATTTTCCTTCAGCTTAATCCCTTTATTCATCAGGGGTTGCCACAGCGGAATGAACCGCTTACTTATCCAGCATGTTTTACACGCCGGATGCCCTTCCAGCTGCAACCCAGTAGTAGGAAACATCCATACACAACATTCACACACATTCGCTCTGAACAATTTAGTTTAATTCACCTATAGCACATGTCTTTGGACTGTGGGGAACACCGGAGCACTAGGAGGAAACCCATGCGAACATGCAAAAGCTATACAGAAATGCCAACTGACCCAGCTGGGACTTGAACCAGCGATCTTATTGCTGTGAGCTGACAGTGCTAACCACTGAGCTACTGTGTCACCCTAGCGTCAATCCAATCTGAAAAAAGGAAAAACCAAACTTGCCTTTGTTTTCTGACTCTCATAATGATGATATGCTACTTTTTGACATTTATTAACTACCACGTGCATAGTTCTTCCAGCTGAAGTCTTCTTTTAATGTTGCTTTGAAATTCACTTCTAAACATGGTCCTGAGAGGGCGAGTCAATAAAAAGCGTTTTATTTTATTCTGTTTCATTTATTTGCTTGTTAGTTTGTTGGCGAACTGTTCCTTTAAGTCGCTTTCTCTTCTAGTTCGGTCATGTGATCATTTCAAGATGGCCGCGCCCTTCAGTTTGGAGGCGTGACGTTATACTGTTACAACACAGAGTCAGGCAGAATAAAACAGCTTGACAAGTTTGCTGAATCCCATTCAAGCTCTCCTGTGAAGCCGGTCATGATGGATAAGGACAGTTTCATTCTGTAAGTTATTGATTAATCAATGAATGAGTGTTGACAGTTGTGTTTGGTGATTTTAAAATATAAAGGCCAGCGCTTATTGATATAAAACAACACGTTATTCAAGTTACAGACTCTCTAATATGGATGACGTCCGTGATATAATACAAGCAAATGATTGTTTGTGCAGGCAATATCTCTGCTGTTAGCATGTTATTTAAGTACTTCCCTAACTTTAACCCCTGTCGTTTGTTTTGAAAACATTTGTGTACATTTCCGTTAAACGTAATTGTACAAGTTCTAACTTAAAGCTTAAATGTCTTAAACTCTCTCTCTCTCAATTCAATAATTGGTTTATTGGCATGACAAATGTTACAAATGCATTGCCAAAGCATTTATAAAGTTTACATTAATAAAACATACATGTATAGTTAAAAATAGTAAACACAGTAAATAGTAATATAGTATTATATATATATATATATATATATATATATATATATATATATATATATATATATATATATATATGTGTGTGTGTGTGTGTGTGTGTGTGTGTGTGTGTGTGTGTGTGTGTGTTACTATACTACTAATAATAACAACAATAATAATAATAATAATAATACTATTTATTATTGTTATTATTATTATTAAACAAAAATACAAATAAGTAAATACGATAAATAAAACTCTCTCAGAGGACTAATATATGAATCATAGAGGGGGATTAAATGCATTATTTTCAAACTGTTGGCCAATTTAAAATAACCATTAATAAAGGGTATCATTATCATACTGTAAATACTTACTGAACTCAAACTCTATTGTCATCATTATGTGGTAGTTAGTGTAATTCTGTTTTATGGTACTTATCATGTACGTTCCAATATACATCACATGCATTACCATTCAAAAGCTGTTAGGAATAAGTTATTTAGGAATATTAAATCACAATAAACTGTAAAACTAGCATAAAGGTGTTCGTATTACTGAATAATCATTGTTACTTACAGATAGCCCAGCATCTTTTAAATGGTATAAATAGTTTTTATAATTATTTAGCTGCATATTTTATTTGGTAAGAGACTATAGAAATTTCATGTTGTTGTACATCCAATTTGTCTTAATAAAGGCACAAATAAAGTAAAAATAACTGAAATTATGTCTTCAATTGAGTCGCAATAGAAAAGAATCATTTATTTCATGTCGCAGTGTTTATATATGAATATTGCTTTTCATTGTCAATTTTCATTGTCATTGTCAATTTTCATTGTTTTCATGACTACATTTCTATCGCAGTTGAAAATGGTTGTACTTTTTGTGCAATATTTATTTTTTCAGGATTACTGAATGAAAAAAATCTATATCTGACATCACTTTAGCTCACCTAACGAATCCTTGCTGAAGAAATGTTTTAATTATTAATGTGTATGGTTTTGTATGACTTAAACTTGACAAAAAGGGTGTGTTTTATGACACTCTCTGCTAAAATGCTTATCAACCAGGGAAGAATAAGCAAACCGTTATTCCCTTATCTCCTCTGCTCACTCACTGCTTAAAACATCTGTGAAACCTGATCATGATAAACTGAGGGAGGGGCTTCTCAATTTCAATTGTACTTTTATTTAGACAGATACGCATATGACCAATTAATGAAAAGCAGTGATGTTTCAAGAAATGTTCAGCTTTGGCAAAATAGGGTGGACCTCAAGATTACTCTCAAACTAAAGAACATCATTATGAAAGACAATTGTCAAACATTGACTGCTAAAAGTCTCATAATCAACTTCTGTTTGTGAGAGTAAAAGGTCAAAAAAAGGGTCAAACATTGTTTCATTAGTTAGTGTTAATGTATTCACTGAATTAACAAAGAATGAACAATACTGATTGTACAGCATTTATTAATCACAGGTCAACATATATTAATGCATTATTAACATTTTTATTCATGCTTGTTAGCATTAGTTAATTCCATTGTGAGTTAACATGAACTAACAATGAACAACATTAACTAATGTTAACCAAAATGAACAAATGCTGTAATAAATGTATTATTTTATTGTTTGTTCAAGTTAACTAACATTAACTAATGCAACCTTATTGTAAAGTGTTACCAGAAAAAGAGTTGGAAATATCTATTATAATAATAAAAATAAGTTATTTTAATTAGCTTCATATATTATCCAGTATCTTGTATAAATGCAACAGAATGTGCTGAATACAACAAGCATAATGGTTTCAGGTCAGGAAAAAAACAATTCCAACTACATCTAAACAGTTTACCCATGCAGCTTTTAGGCCAAGTGTTGCTTTGTAGCTTCAAACAAATAACTCTTAAACACACAATGCAAACAAATATGAATCATCACAGAAAGAAAAAACACACCCTTTTGTATTATTCTTTCTACTTCAATTTTTTCATATTATTTATTATTATTTTTTTACATAATAAAAGCACTGTTGCGTGTGCGAGACTATAGTGTTCAATATAGTATTCAATATGAATATGAAATGTGGGACTGATATAACTACTAAAATGACATAAAATGTAATTAGATTTTGAATGGAACGTTAGTGAAATCATATGAGAGTCTGGACCACAAAACCACTAATAAGTTGCATAGGTATGTTTGTGGGAGTAACCAAAAATACACTCTATGAGTACACTCTATGAGTACTGCAAGGCAAGTGTATTTATAGCTCATTTAATACACAGTAGTAATTCAAAGTGCTTTACATAAACAGGAGTAAAAGAAACAAGTATAAGAAAATAAAAACAGTTATAATACAATCGAATTAAAATGTGTTAAAACAGGTTTTAAAGAAATGAAAAAGAAAAGGAAGATGTAATAGTGTGATCTATGGGACGTTCCACAGTGCTCATTCTATAAAGGCGCAGCTAAACAGATGTTTAAATAGGTATTTTTTTAATGCAACAAAATCGCCATAATATAAAGTAAAAATTACTTTCCATGAAGACATTAAGTAAATTTCATTCCATAAATATATATTTATAAACTTTTTTTTATAATAAGTAATGTGTATTGCTAAACTTAATTTGAACAGCTTTAAAGGCAATTTTTAGAGTATTTCTATTTATTTATTTTTCTCATGTTCCAAATATTGTCCTATCTAATAAACCATGCATCCATGGAAAGCTTGATATAGAAATCTCAATTTATAAAGATTGTCCTTTTTCTACGTGATTATTCACATCTGCGCCTCAGGTATGGTGTGTAGAGACTGTGAGCAAAGATCATTCAGGGACTGTTTTACAGCAGGACCGCTTGAATGGGTCAGTCACTCAAATTTACAGCTCTTTCACTTACATGTACCATTCAAAACAATATAGAAATACAGCTGTAAAGTCAGTAAGATCACAGATTTTCTTCATGTACATGTAGTAATTTATTGTTGTCACCTTGAAATTATAAGGATCTATCTGCGTTCCGAATGATTTTGAGACATTGAGCTTTAAAGTTTTTACATTCCATAGCAAACAGTATGTGTGTAACATTTGTTTTTTTTAAGAAAAAGTTTTAGGTTTTAAACAACAAAAATTAATGCCATAATGTAAATAAGTTGTCATTTATTAAGAATATATCTTATTATCTTATAACTCAATTTTGAAAAAAATGTCAGATAGAACCTTAGAATTCTTAGGTGACGATGTGTAGAAGAGCTGTCAATTTGTATGGGTCAGTTTCACCCTGACCCTTATCTAGCCTCACTTCACCACTGGAGAAATGTAATGTTGTCTGATAAATAATTAAATATTGCATTATTTTCTCTCAGCCCAAAAGACTTTCCAGAGTTGAGGAATGACACATTCCTGAGAGCGGCGCGAGGAGAAGAGATCGAGCACATTCCAGTGTGGTGTATGAGACAGGCTGGACGCTACCTGCCAGGTGTGTAACAATAACTTTGGCTGCATGATATTAAAAGAAATAATATTTTGTTTTTCAGCAATACAGTTCAAGGCAAAATTATTAGCCCTCCTGTGATATTTTAGTTATTTTTTTCAAATATTTCTAAGTGCTCTTTAACAGTTTTTTTCCAATACATTTTTTAACATAATAGTTTTAAACTCTGATCTCTAATGATCAATTTCTTTAGTCTTTCCCACGATGCCAGTACATCATATTTTACTAGTTATTTCACAAGTTAGGTTAGGTAGGCAACTCAATGGATACCAATAGTTTGTTCAGTAGCCAATCGGATAAATACAATTCTAAAGAGGCTGATAATCTGAGTAAGAAAGTTAAGCAAAGTCTAAACTGTTTTCGTTTTATTAGAAGGTTTTTAACATATCATACTGCAAAATTATACATGCACACAATGATATTCTCTCACTTGACATATTGCATTACATCTTGGTCACAAGCCTCTTTAACTACATTAACGCCTAGTGACTCAATATATAAACAAGTTGTTAAAATTATGGACTTAAAGCCTATGCGATGGCATCAATGTGATGTTTTATGTAAACATAACCTTTTTAGTTTTAATAGTTATATTAAATTGAATTATCTTAAATTGGTTTTTAAATGTTTAAATAATCATGTTCCAATGCTGTTTTCTGATCTAGTACGTAGGCATCAAATCTATGACTGTCTAGTGCCAAAGTGTAAGACCTCATTTGGTCAATCTGTCTTCTCTGTAAAGGGAGCCAAACTGTGGAAAGATTTATCTGTTAGCCTTAAATCAGAAAGAAATCTAAATATTTTTAGTAGTGCTCTTAAAAAAAGTGGTTTAAAACAAAACAGCAGTGTTTGCACAAGCAAGTCTACTGTTAGTTTGTTGGATCATGTCTCCTTTGCTTTTGCTTCAGTCATTTTCTGTAAAGAAATATAATGTTGTGTATATGTTTTATTATATTTCCATTTTGCCAATTTTTTCAAGCCTCCTATGGACAGGTGTTGAGAATTAGCAAGTTTGCTTAAACACTTAAACAAATGCATTTGGTTGTCCAATGTAATTGTGATGTCCATGTCAAATAAATAAATAAATATTAAAAAACAAATTATAATATTGATCTTTTTTTTATTATTATTATTCCAGAAATACTAAAAGAAGTAAGACTTTATTCAGATGAAAAAATATAGTAGTATTAGAAATGCAAACATCACTTGGGGGGAAAAAAAAAAAAAAAAAAAAAAAGAGTAGATATTCACAGGAGGGCTATTAATTTTCTCTTCAACTGTATATTGCAGTATATGAATACTATTTCACCAGATGACTTGTATAGCTCTATTTGTAAAGAATTTGTTATTTTGTAAGGTTTTCTATTGGAGTACATTTGCATAAAATATAATAAACAATTTACAAGCATAGATGATCACGATATAGCAAAGATACACATGAAATGAGTATGACAGCATTCAGGTACAGAAATTGAATAATCAAATATAAAATAAAAATGTATGGTCCTCATAGTGTAAATAACGATATACTATTAATAATGGCAAATCTACAAATTATATAATTACTTGTGTGCGAATAGTTTAAAACTTAAAATACTTACACAATCACAAGCCTTTAAATTAAAATCCATTATGGTCCATATTTGCAAATACTTTTTATAATGACTCCACAAGTCACATGTTCTGAATTGTATTGCTTGATCAACTACCATCCCATCTCAGCATTGTACGTCCTGTGATCGATGTGACTATTGTCGATGCTGAAATGTTATATTGTGTAGCTGATGAGCGCTGCCAGTTCTACGTGTGATTATTTATTATGAAGTAAGTCTGTTCATCCTTTCATCTCTGACTGGCTTGATTATCTATTCAACAGAGTTCAGGGAATCACGGGCAGGGAAAGATTTCTTTGAGACGTGTCGTTCCCCTGAAGCTTGCTGTGAGCTTACATTACAGGTCAGCACCACTGAGCATATGGGTTGTTGATGTAATGTTGTGTTTTTACTGTCATGCATGACAAAAAATTATATAATTAGTATTGTCATCATTAAAAATGTGTTAAATGGTTAAGCATTTCTTTGTCCTCCATGGATGTCTTGCTATAAAAACGGCTGTGTCATTACATTTTAGAATAAAAATGTTTTTGAAGCAAACCTCAGAGTTTTAAGACATTTTAAGGCTAGAATTAATCAAGTGATTTTTACAAGATGTTGTATTAAATATAAGAGAATAACTAATGTGTTTTTGCTTAAATTTGATGACTCCTACTTACTGTTTGTTCTGCACAACTGCTCTTACAGTAAAACATATTCTACTGGGCTGCCCTGCTTTTAATGATTGCAGAAGGCTTTTTTATATATATATATATATATATATATATATATATAAAATGAATACTCGTAAGCACATTTTTAGCAAAGTGTCACCAGGAGAAATGTTAGACGTTTTGTAATTTATTAACACTAAAAATCTTATTTAATTTATGTATTAATTTGTTTGTTGTTTTTAATTGTACATTTAATAATGAAATATTATTGCCATAGAAAATAGCCTTTGTTATTGACAAAGGCTGTATAAAAAATCATCAGCGTATTTTTGAAGCAAATCTAAAACTGTTCTATGTTGTGACGGTATCAAGCAAAGTTCGACAAATTACAACTCTTATAAATTCAATAGAAATTCAGAAAATCTTTAATAAATACCTCCAGCCTAATTTTACAAGTGGCTGTTTTAGTAAATGGCAGTTCTTTTTGTAATCCATCTATTTCTAAAAACATTGGCATATGATACCTGTAAATCCATTCAGTTGTTCCGAAACAGGGATTAAAATTGTTACGTTGTTGCTCTTTGCTCTTGGTGTGGTTCGCTTTCACACGGCAATGTTTCTAAATGGACCAAAAGAGCTAAAGCAAATCGCGTGTGAGTAAACTCTCATCACATTGGTCAGTTTCACGTTTTATTTTGCAGAGTCCTGCTCAGCTGTCAGGGGGGGTGGTGGTTTGGTGATGTTTGACAGGGTACATGTGACGTGTCTGAAGAGCAAGGAGGGATGCGGTGGGGGGGATGAGAAGGGTGCGCGACGTATTTGAGGACCGGGAGGGAGACACTTGATTTCGGGAAGATTATCACTCATTTGCGGGCATCCGGGAGTCTCTGTGCATTTGTGGGAAACTCCCAAAACTTCCGGGAGACTTGGAATGTCTGTTGAATGATCTACCACCCTACTCATAATTGTATAACTCTAACTCGTATGCCTATTACATATCGAAAAAGCACTGTGATATAACCGGGCTCGAATCGTATCGCTTTCTCACTACAATCGATCCGCACCAGAGTTCGTTTCAATTGAGCTGAGACCACCTCATTCAAGCGATCTCGGAGCGATTGCTTTGACACAGATCCGAGCGCGATTGCTGGTTTCACATATGACAAACAAACTGTGCTAAATGGGCAAACGAGACAGGTTCCGAAACAAAAGGTTAGGTGTGAAAGCACCCTCAAAGCCATGTCCTCTGGTGACACTATATGTTTTTAAAACAGCAATTTCATAGAAAACACGTATAATTAGAACCTCAGTTAAGCTCCTGATTCTATATTAGTACGTTTTATTTCCTAAATTTTTGTTATGTCACACCACAGGACATTTTTATGGTGCAGTTCAGGAAGAAGTTACTAACCCCTATTTTCTCAATAATCTGACTTTAAACTACATAAATATAACTTTTGTTTTGAAAAAAATACAAAACAAATGTTTTTCACTGCCTATTTGTCATCTACCCATATATATATATATATATATATACAGTATATATATTCTTTTTTGCTTTATTAACAAGAACCAGCATGTAGTTTCATTTTACTACAAAACCGCTTCATTTAGTATCAATAAGGATTAAATGAGAAAAGAAAAAAAGGGAGGTGATGATTATCTATTTCTGATTATCTATTTATATACTAATAAAATATAGATTTTCAATTTTTGTTATCCACAAAATGTATTAAATGCACTTTTAGTACAGAAAACATACATAAATGTAAATATTTTATGCAAAAATGTTAATGGAGAAGCATAAATGAATCGTTTTAAGTGAAGTTTTTATAAACTAATTTCGAGAGGAGCACGTGATATGACTGATCGCAGCTGTCTTCCATCCGTAATCAGCAATAATCCATTCAGATTGACTCAAGCTTACAAAAATTAGACTTCGTCCTACTGCCTTATCTTCATTTTGGAAGAATCCCCCTTACACCCCAACTTCTCATTTTCCACCCTTTACCAGGGGGAACTCGAGATCTACCTGATCTCAGACCCCCTTATATGCTTATTGACCAGGCAGGAGCTCAGGGCTCAATTATCTCCAAGCTCAGGGTTCTCTCCGGGGACAGCCAAACCTGTTAATAGCATCTAACAATATCTAAGTGTGAACTCTTGAATTGCTGTTCTATTTTTAGACTTAATTATCACATGAATATACATTTTAATACCCATATTCATTCTTTCCTCCTCCTTAAATTTTTTTTTTAACACAATCAATTTTCTGTTTTTAGCCCCTCAGGCGATTCCCATTTGATGCTGCCATCATCTTCTCCGACATCCTGGTGGTCCCTCAGGTCATTATTGTAATGTATTGACTTGATAATGACTATTAGTGTGTGTGTGTGTGGCTATTCATATATGAATTGTGTATGTCCAGGCCATGGGAATGGAGGTTCAAATGTGTCCAGGAAAGGGCCCCACTTTCCCAGAACCACTGAAGGAGCCTGAGGATCTGCAGAGGCTGAAGACTCAAGTGGACGTGTATTCTGAACTTGACTATGTTTTCAAAGCCATCACACTGACACGGCACAAAATAGAGGGGAAAGTTCCTCTCATTGGCTTCACTGGAGCTCCGGTAAGAAAACTCAAGCTATGGTCTATAACTCAAGACACTGCTTTTATTTGGATTAAGCGTTTCATTTTGTGACCATTGAAATTATTACTTTGGGGTGACACGGTGGCTTAGTGGTTAGCACTTTCACTTCACTTCACTGCAAGAAGGTCGCTGGTTTCAGTCCCGGCTGGGTCAGTTGGCATGTCTGGGTGGAGTTTGCATGTTCTCACCATGTTTCCGTGGGTTTGCTCCTGTTCCCTCCACAGTCCAAAGACATGCGGTACAAGTGAATTGGGTAAACAAAATTGGCCATAGTGTATGAGTGTGTATGTGAATGAGCTTATGAATGTTTCCCAGTACTGGGTTGTGTCTACTGCGTAACTTTTACAGCATAAAACATATGCTGGAATAGTTGGTGGTTCATTCCACGGTGGCCACCCCTCATAAATAAGGTATTAATGAATTATTACTTGTTATTTTTAAGCAAAATTGCATTATATTAATCAAAAGTGAGAGTAGAAACAAGAACTTTTCCATTTAGAACCAGTGTTCTGTGTGTTTGTCTTTCCCTGAATCACTATGGTGAGCCTAAAATTAATATTGGGACTGTATTAAATCTGTCAGATTGATCCCTGCTGCAGAGAAGCCCAGTACCTGTGTAACTCATCATATCACGTCTATAACAGAGAGAAGAAGCTCCAGCTGCAATGAGGCTTGAACTTTTGTTTGTTAACCACTAAAAGTTGCATAACTTAAACAGTTAGTTCATCCAAAAATGAAAAATCTGTTATAAATTGCTTTCCCTCATGTTGTTCCAAACCCTTGACACCTTTCTTCATCTTCAGAGCACACATCATGATATTTTAGATAGAATCCAGGAGCTCCATCATCCTTCATCCTCCTGAGACATTCAATATGCAGAAAAGGAACCAAAAAATCGTTAAAACATTGCATTTGATGTCAGTGTTTCAACTGTATCCATACAAAACTCCAAGAACAATTTTGTATGCCAAAAAAAACTCTGAAACCTGTAAATATGAACCAGTTGTACTAATGTTTTTGGACCTTGAAAGTGTTTAGTCTATGAAGGATGACAGAGCTCTTGGATTGCATCTAAAATATCTTAATTTGTATTCTGAAGATGAACGACAGTTTCAGGATACTGGAGCGACATGATGATGAGTAACAGAATGTTTTTTGTGTGTAACTACCCCTTGTGAATTCAGCTAATTACTTCAGTCGGAATGCTGTATACAGTTACAGTTAGGAAAAGAATTCTATACAAAATAGAAAACATTATGGCATTGGTCTTGCATTGAGTTATGCAAAAACTTTGAATCACTGATGTTGCTGTATAAACCTTCGGCATGGGTCGGTATAAGATTCTGACAGTATGATAACCATGGATAAAAATTGCATGTTATTGTGATTGCTGCTCTAAAATATCAACTTTTTAAATGTTTAGGTAATCAACAACAATTTTTTCCCCCCATTCAACACAATATATTTTTAAGAAACATTTAAATATTTTGGAGCAGGAAACAGGTCAGGCTAAATATTTAATCTAAATCATTGATTTCTGCAGTTTTCATTACATTCAAGAACACAGATTTCTTTACATCTTGAAAATGCATCTATGGATATCTTTCTTTTATTTAGATATAAAGTAAACCACTGCACTGTTCAGGTCTATAGCAGGCTTGGATGTTGGTTTACAAGCTGTTTGTTTTTCAGATGTTTGCTGAATCGTGGGCTGATCCCTTTTCTGCTCTCTAAAAAACTAAATAAAATAGTCTCAAAAATGTATATATATACCACAGGAACGGTATAACAGAAAATTTTAGCCGTTTTTAAAACCTTGACTTTTCCAAACCGCAGTAAACCTTGAAACCTGTTATCATCCCATCCCTAGATGTGATTGTTCACAGTTGTGTAGAATTGAGTCAGTGAACTATGCAACAAAACAGCAGATTTTCAGCATTGACTAACTTAAACAATCGATTGGCTCAGTGCTGCAAAATAAAAGGATGCTAAATGCACAGAAATTTAGAATATTTCATATTTTTAACTCCTAATTTCAGCATTCGTATCCTCGTAAAAACTGTAATTGCCAACTGGAATTTTTTTTATACCTACAACAATTGCCTGACCGCTATACCACATATTCTTTAGGTCTGTTTTAAAAAAAAAAAAAAGTGCATCACAGTTTCTCTGTTTTAACACCTATACTAGCAAGAACTGTTGCTTGAGTTCCATATATATATATATATATATATATATATATATATATATATATATATATATATATATATATATATATATATATATATATATAATTATAATACATTGGTATACTTAATGCAATAATTGTATGGGTCAAAATGATCTATTTTTTATGCTAAAATTATTAGATTAAGTAAAGATCTATAGATAAATAAATAAATATGAAAATATATAAATAAATGAAGGGCGATGCATGGGCACAGTAGGTAGTACTGTCGCCTCACAGCAAGAAGATCAATGGTTCGAACCTCGGCTCAGTTGGCGTTTTTGTATGGAGCTTGCATGTTCTCCCTGCCTTCGCGTGGGTTTCCTCCGGGTGCTCCGGTTTCCCCCACAGTCCAAAGACATGCGGTACAGGTGAATTGGGTAAGCTAAATTGTCTGTAGTGTATGAGTGTGTGTGTGTGAATGTGTGTGTGTGTGTGTTTTCGCAGAGATGGGTTGCGGCTGGAAGGGCATCCGATGCGTAAAAACTTGCTGGATAAGTTGGCGGTTCATTCCGCTGAGGCGACCCCGGATTAATAAAGAGACTAAGCCGACAAGAAAACAAATTAATGAATAAATAAATGAGTAAATAAATCCATAAATTCCTGCATAAATAAAATAATAAATAAATAAATAAATTTTTATAAAAATCCACAAATTCCTAAAGACATAAACATATAAATAATTAATAGTGTTGGCAGGTAAATATTTAAATGAGTTGAGCAAATGTTGGGGGAATAAGAAAATGCTAATCTGAAAGTTTATTTTTCCCTTCTTTCAAACTTTTATTCATATCTTGAACGTAGCTGCGTATTTACTTTTCCTCAGGTCAACATGCTAATGAGAGGGTGTCTGTCAATCATCAGAAGGCAGTCTTTATGCCATCAGTGGTTGCTCGTTAGAAAGATTTTGCATTGCAATATTTTTTTTGACTGGCTTCTGATGATTGACAGACACCCTCTCATTAGCATGTTGCGCTTAGGAAAAGTACATACACAACTACAATCAAGCAAGATATGAATAAACGTTTGAAAAAAGGGAAACATCAATTTTCAGTTTAGCATTTTCTTAACCGCCCAACGTTCTTGTAATATATTTAATATTTACCTTCCCACACTATTAATTATTTATATATTAATTATGCAGAAATTTGTCAATTTTAATATACATTTATTTATTTGCATATTCATTTATTTATTGTTTCGTTTATGCGGGAATTTATGGGTTTTATTTACTCATTTACTTTTATATTTGCGTATTTATTTATTGTTTTTGCAGGTTTCGTCCTCCATTAAGATCATGTTTCATAAAGTTATTTTGTAAATTTCCTTTTGTAAATATACCATAACTCAATTTTATTAGTAATGTGCATTGCTAAGTGATATACACAATATTTAACTTTTTTTTAACCCTAGATTGCAGATCTCAGCCAAATATTGTCCGATCTCAACAAATGCTTCAATGAAAATCTTATTAATGACTGGTTTTGTGGTCTAAGGTCACATTTTTGAAGTATCATGTGACAGTGACCACTGCATGTGCTCGAAAATCCAGCTCTGCATCAGCCGTCAGTTTCTTTAAACAACCAAAAATGTATCAGTTCTTTTAAATTGTGAGAACATTTCACAATATTATAGTTTTATTGCATTTTTGATCAAATAGATGCAACTTTGCTGATTATCAGAAGTTGCTACTAACCTCAAAGTTTCAATCATGACTGCACAGTGACCTTTTCCACCCTTTCTTATGCTTGACAGTGGACTCTAATGTCCTACATGATTGAAGGAGGAGGCTCTGCGACACACTCAAAGGCTAAACGCTGGCTCTACCGGTACCCAGAGGCCAGCCATAAACTCCTGAGCCAGTTAACAGACGTCATAGTGGAATATCTGCTTGGCCAGGTGAAAGCTGGAGCTCAGGTACGACAGAAGAATTTGCAGCACAATTTAGAACTTGTATAAGCAAGGGATGCGATTAAAACTATCTCTATTTTCACTCAATGTTTTTTGTTTAGGCTCTGCAGGTTTTCGAGTCTCATACTGGATGTTTGGGCCCAGTGGAGTTTAAAGAGTTTTCTCTGCCGTATCTGAGAGACATTGCTCGACGAGTTAAAGACAAGATCAAAGAATCTGGTTTAGACAATGTGCCTATGGTAAGTGTAAGAGTTTATATGTTGAGCTGGTGCACTTTCTTGTGTTGTTTTAGCTTTATTACACATTAAGTTTTGGTAATGAGTGAGTAGCAAGTGCATTTATCTAAAGTGCTTTCAGATGTGGAATAAAATCTCCCTTTTACATTTGTTCATTTTGCTGATGCTTTTATCCAAAGCAACTTACGAGTGAGGATAAAACACGCATCAAATCATTAGACAGCAGCAGTATATAAATGCTATACAAGTATAACAATCCCAAATTAGTTCAGAATTTTATTATTATTAAATGTTTTTGAAATATGGAGAGAAGAGTGTATCCTACGTGTTCTATACGTAGCCTGCATGAAGTACTAGCAGTGTTTTTATTTGTTTTAAGAATGAAATCTTTAGTGTCGGATAGCATTCTCTTTTGTAATATATTTGTTTTCTCTATGAATTATTTTATTTATTTACTTATTTACTTTATTTAGTCAGAAACAGAAAATGTCAAATCCACAGACTTATAGTAGAATATATATACAGAGGTGAAACTAAAAGTATAGTATTGTCAGGGATACATAGATATGACACAAAAATGTAAAAATAATCAGTAAAATAAAAATTCCAGAGACAAACAGACTAATTGCATAAATGAGTCAAATACAATAAATAAATAGATTACAGTACACAGGGTTGTGATGAGTGATCATATGACCAAGTGGCCCAATATAGGTTTCCAGGTTATTATTTGGATAGTTTTAATAGTTCCTTGAGACACTTTAGATCTTTAAGTTCACTAGATCTTGTTTCCACCTCAGTGATCTTTTTGCAAGAACCATAGATGAGAAGACAGACTGATGTTCAAACCTTACAGAGAAAAAGTTACTATCGAGTGACTTCTATTTTAGAAACCACTTTATTTTTGTTTTTTCAGTTTCACCGATTAAAATAGTCCCAGAAAAAGATGAAGTAGAACATCTGTCTAAACTCATCACTGCTACGTTCCTAAGTGACTTTTTTGAATAAATCATCTGATTGAGAATTGAAACCCAAACGAGGGTCATTTTCCATATGTGCACAAACACACAAGGAATTAGTTGTGGTTTTCGGAAGCTGTGGCTACATGCAAACATGGACGTGAGACCCTCATACATTTAAGTTTGGCCATGTTTACAATGATGTTTTTAAAAGGAGTTTCTCACCAAAAGTAGGATGCATTTGATCAAGTGAAAACATAAAATGTGCAATTTATTTTTAATGATTGCCATGTTGATTGCTAAAATTATATATTCCATACATCTAGGCCATATTTTTAAAACAGTATAAGAACGAGTATTAAAATGATCCATTAATGCATTAAAATTATGTTTGTTAATAAGTCTGAGCATAAGTATCCAGAAACTAGAAGAGTTAAGGCTCGGAACAATCAAATAATCCACACTTGTAATAACACTATTGGCCACTAGTTGTCAGTATCTGGTTGCGTTTCCTTGCTTGCATCTCACTTGAAGCCCAAAGAGATTCATTTCATTTCCTTCTCTGAGGCTTTAACTTCTCGGTAACTTCTGATTTTTCATTTGCAGATTGTTTTTGCCAAAGATGGTCATTATGGGCTTGAGGACCTCTCTGAGTCTGCTTATGAAGTTGTGGGTCTCGACTGGACCATAGACCCACGTTCAGCACGGTCAGTAATAGAACTGTCAAACAGCTTTGATGAGTTTATTTCCTCATTTCAGTGTGATCCAGCATCACTGCAATGGTATGCAGACCCTTAAGCAAATCTGGCTGACTGCAGTTTTGTGTCTTGATAGTTTTATTTCACAGAACTGAAATTCAGTTCATGATGGTGTGATTTTTGGCATCTTCTCTCAGACAAGCTTTCTCCGGATTGTTTTCATCAAGTTTATTATATGACACTTGTGCTCTGCACATTGCAAATAGTGACAGAGAATGAGAACAGGGCTTTAACTAAACCATCATACAACTTCTTTAGCCAGATTTAAGGATCTTTCCGTGATAAAAGTAAATGTTTTTATATATATATATATTGGCTTTCACTATGTGAATTTGTACCATCTGTTCTTTAAATGAAAATAAGATGTCTATCTCTACTGATAAAACCAGTCTTGCAGCATAATGCTGCCTCTATATCTTACTATTGAGTTTTAGGCAGTCTTATTAACATATCGTCTTGGTTTTCGCTCCTGTTAAAACATTTCGCTCCTGATACAACATGCAAATAAATATGATGTATTTTTGGCAAACTCCAAAAGAAATGCATTCTTTAAACAGGGTATCCGCAGGGTTTTCTAAAGCCTTAAAATGTCTTAAATTTCAAAATCTAAACTTTAGGCCTTAAAACCTTAATTTCACTGAAATATGGTGTTCTTAAATCATATTCAGCAGGTCTTAATTTTCCTCAACAGGTCTTAATTTTTCTATGTCAATGTAGGGCCAATCAGGCCAACACCCATCCAATCACTATCATTCCATCTCAATAAAAGATTTAACAGAAGTTTATTAACTCACTCTATTTACCAATAATGTTTATTATCTATCTCGCAAATGCCATTTGTTTTTAATGTTTTATCTGGGCCGCTAGAAAAAAATCCTTGGCATTAAACCTTGTGTAAGTCTGAAATTTCAATGATAATGGTCTTAAAATGGTCTTAAAACATCTTAAATTTGATTTGATGAAACCTGTAGAAACCCTGTTTAAAAATGCTGTTTCATAGGTAGACCTCGCTTGTGAGAGAGATGTGGCCTCATTACATTATTTTATTTCACACCAATTACAAAAAAACAAAGGACTTCAGTTCTAGAGCTAAAAATAAAAGTATCAAATGTCACTTTATTACTTTAATACAGTAAAATATATTGTATATATTCTTGAGGCAACGAGTGCCTGTTCATAAAGTATCAGTCAAGCGTTTAGACAAAATGTAACATTTTCAAATAATATTACAATAATGATTTTGATAATAACATTATAGTTTTAAAAATTGAATCATGAGAATTATGTATTTGCTATTCTAAGCTAATTTAAACCTTGTATCTTATTTTATATTTTGTAAAATGTTCCATAATCCTGATTGGCCAATCACCGTGTTTTATTTACATTAAAGATTCATTATAATTGCTCCACTGAACGCAAATGTTTTGCTCAGTGCTTAAGTTTTGTAAATGGACAGTTTCAGGAACAAAATGAAATGAAAGTTACCGTAACCGACGTCCACCAAACAATTTCAGTTTTCGCAAAACATGATGTTACTAAGTGGTTATAGCAGAAAAAGCATGACATTTCTGAACTGTATTTAATATATTTTGTGCAATATATCGTTTTGGGTCTACCATGGATAAAAAAAAACAAACAAGTAGCTACAAACATAAATTGTATGAAACATTACTATTCAGTTTACTAACACCACTGACATTCAGTTCACTTCATTATTATGTGCTGAAATTAAGCGAAAATGACTCACTCTAATCTTCAAGAAGAACCCATAGATACCTCTTTTTCTTCCATCATGTTTTCTGGCAGACTTTTGCTTCTGTCTCCCGCTATCCTGATCCAGGAGCGCAATTCCATCTTCTCTTGATTAGGCTCATTTTCAGATTTACTCATGGTTTAAAAAAATAAATAAATATATATATATATATATATATATATATATATATATATATATATATATATATATATATATATATATATATATATATATATATATATATTTATATTTATATTTATATTTATATATATAAATAAAATGGATATAATGCTTGACTGTCTCTACCGTTTTGAAAATACAAATATTATTTAGGTAGCCCACTATGCCATTATTTATTTTCGCTGCTCACTGCGCAAAATAATACCAATCAATAGGAGTGATTGTAAACTAAAGAAAACCAATTGGTAGAAAATGCCAACCTTTATGTGTGCGCGCGCACACAATCAACACAGCTTTGCTCGCCATTTTTCACTGGGACTTAATCACATTCTCACACACACATGCAGGTAATCACCATGCAACAGTTAATGCCGGAACAATCAAAATAAATACCGGAAAACAAAAAACGGATATCAAACATCTACCGGAACAGAATTCATCAAGATCATCATGAACTCTCTCAGCCTCCGTAAATTAGTTTTGCCTAACAACATCCTTCGGTCTTGAATGTATTCACAATATATCATTGCTTATTGCATCTTATTCCTTGAGTTATCAACACTTTATAATTTATCAAACACTTTATGAGTGATAATGAAGGATAAATTCTTAAATATTAAGTTTGTTCTGTTTTGTGTTTCTCAGTGTGAGGACTGGAGGCAAGGTTAGTTTGCAAGGCAACATGGACCCCTGTGCGCTCTACGGCACAAAGGTGAGGACAAAAAAATACAAAATATAACACTGTCTTTTATCAAATGTAAAGTCCTCGTCAATCAGATGTTGCTGCAGACTTTTAAATCAACATTTTTCCAGCTGAAATAAACTATTCAGTGAGGGATGGTTCTTTTTGTGCTCCTCCTCTCATCTTTTACTTACAACAAACTAATGGTTAAAGAGGCGTGGCTAAGCATGTTTTGCCTAAGCTGTCAAACTGACATCACAGAAGAGACTGCCGTTTCAGAGTAAAAAGTACATGGTTCGATTTGGATGCAATTGATCAAATTTGTTTGTTGTGTGATGTAATTTCAACTTAAAAATTAAACCGAATAGTTCCTTCCGTTTAAAAAAAAAAAAAGCCATAAGCGTCTTGTATATCACAGTTCTGCCAGTAAGCGCATGTAGTAAGAGGCTGTTTCTCAGTTCCAAGAATGCTGAGAATGGACTTGTGAAGACTGTTCTTCCCAAGCTACCTCTGAAGAACAAACTTGGGATACCGCAAGAACACAGAACGCGTCTTCTGAGAAATGAGATGCTGCGTTTTCCTGATGGTCACGTGATCTTTACGTGTTTTTTTACGAAAAATTAATTAAACATTACTGCCTTCATACAACAATTTATTTTTTCTGCTTTTCACAATATATACTATTAAGACCTTACAAATACATGTTGCACAATATAAATAAAACTAAACGAATTTCAGCAAATAAACATCCTTAATGTGTTTCTGCCTTTATAAAGATCTTCATGGTAATGTTTAATTTCACCAACTCATTTAGACACCAACTCCTGAGACAAGTAAGTTATTTATTTGAATTTTAATATTAAACTGGTATGAAACGCTGTGCTTCCCATCTCCTTTATTCAGCCACAATGACTTCTGGGACTTCTCAAGCGAATTTTGCTCAAGTCTGCATCGGTGCATCCTCTATCGAGAACACATCCGGGAACTTTCATGCATCCTCTGTTCTTGTGGTCTTGAGTTTTGGAACTGAACTTTGGCAGTTGATGATGACAAGAACACGAGGACCTAAGATCACTGAAGAATGCATGTTGAGAAACAGCCTCTTCAAATGGGGGCAGAGTATGTCAGATCATTAAAAGCATTTGATTGGTTAGAAGATTTGATAAAAAAACTGAAGTATGAGGTGATGTCAAAAAAATTGTTGATGGATTTAGATGGAAGTGACAAAATGAAAGCTTTGGATGCTTATATCTTCTTAAAGTAAATTTTGTCATTGTTTTGAAGCACACTTATCGATATCCTTAAGACAAACATACTGATAATAACATATTATGATTTGACAGGGACTTTAATATTAACAGTGTGCACTAGCAAAATAATCATTTACAAATTTGGATTTCATGTGGACCTTAAGTATTTAGGCCTATACCTTATTGTATGCTTTAGATTTGAGTTCTGGTTAGTTCATTTGAAAGCAAAGAGGCCTTTCTGTTTTTACAAATTTAGGCCCTGCTGGAAATATGAGCCCTCAGAGCAGCTGTTTTCCACACAGAACCATCTCTGGCTTTCATTGCTCATTCATTACAAGCATGGCTTTCATAGCATTGTCTGAGTGCCTCCAAATGGCTTATTTTTTTCCACCATCATTTCAGAAGTTATGAGGATGTGACTGTTCAGCCCATTTAAAAAAAGACAAAAGTGATGTGTGATGTCATCCTAAGCTCTTCTCCTTGTTGATGTGTTATCAGGAGAGCATCTCTGAGATCGTGAGGAGGATGTTGGAGGGCTTTGGCACAAAGGGCTACATCGCTAATCTGGGTCACGGCCTTTACCCTGATATGGACCCAGAAAATGTGGGCGCATTCGTGGAGGCTGTACATAACCACTCTCGCCAGCTTCTCAAACGCTAATAAAAAAGTCCTCTTCCATCAGAAGACCCAAGAAACAACAGTGCTTAGCTGTAGCACCAGATAAATGCTATAGGATGAGTCCTACAAAACCTGTCAAGAAATGAGGAAGAAAATGTCAGGAAACCTGTTGAAAATGCTTGGAATCTCTAGATTCACGATTCATAACTACGTGTTGAGTAATTGGTTTCATTCTGTAAACTATTGGTTACTAAACTTTAAAGAAAAGTAATCACTATTGTTGATGGAATAACACATTTTGAAGTATTTGCTATTCTGACCACTTGTCATTTTGGGGGGAATTTTATTATTTTTATTTGACGTAGGGCCAGGATAAGTGCTGGATAAGTTGGCGGTTCATTCTGCTGTGGCGACCCCGGATTAATAAAAGGACTAAGCCGACATAAAAATGATTGATATTATTATATCACAAATAATATTATGAAATTAATTTAAAAATTGGATAAATATAAATTTACACAAGTAAACACATAGACTCAATGATGGGCTAAAAATCTGTGGAACTCTACAAATTTCTGCACGTGCAGATTCCCTGTGGGCCTAGACATAAGGAAGCAATGTTATCAAACCCGTATAGAGAAAAAAAAAAAAAAACATACCTAGGAAATCCAGAGAAACTGATCATTTTCAATGTTCCATAGCTGCATATCCAAGTGTATTTTACTCAGCAATCAAAAGACCCTAAAGCAGGGTTTCTATGACAAGCCGTTTTGACATTTAATCTATAACCTGTACTAGTATCTGTTTTCATGTTACTAGTACTTATTTTTTAGATACTAGTACTTATGAAAAAGATGCTACAAGTTATTCAAAAGATTTTAGTACACATTTACTAAATACTAGTACTTGTTTGAAATGTTACTGGTAAAACATTTTTTTACTAGTAATATGTTTAATTAAACTACTTTTCCATTTGGACTATTTATAACATAAGTTGAGTAAAAAGTAGAACTAACTAGTGAAATAGAAATTGTTACTAGTAATAATTAGTAAGTCGCTGGGTCGCTGGTTCGAACCTCGGCTCAGTTGGCGTTTCTGTGTGGAGTTTGCATGTTCTCCCTGCCTTCGCATGGGTTTCCCCCACAATCCAAAGACATGTGGTACAGGTAAATTGGGTAAGCTAAATTGTCCATAGTGTGTGAATCTGTGTCTGGATGTTTCCCAGAGATGGGTTGCGGCTGGAAGTGCATCCGCTGCGTAAAAACTTGCTGGATAAGTTGGCGATTCATTCCGCTGTGGCGACCCTGAATTAATAAAGGAACTAAGCCGACAAGAAAATGAAATTAAATGAACTATTGTCTAATAAATAAATACTAGTACTAATGGAAAAACTATCTATTTAATAGTTACTAGTATCTAATGAATTGGTACCAGTAGGGCTGGGTGATTTGTCCTAAAATTAAAATCTCAATTAATTAATCCTTTTAACTCGATTATGATTAACAAACAATTATTTTATTTAGTTAATTTTTTGCCCTCATAGTTCACTGACAAGTTTTGTACAGTAATATGCTTTATTTTTTAATGAAGGGTGCATTATTTTGATTTTAAAATAATTGATGGAATCACACACTATCTACTATGACATCAACATTGAACAACTAAAATTAATGCACACATTGCCTAAAATGAGCAGTCCCACGACTCCACACATATAGGGAAAGTAACGGGAAAAAAAATCGACCTGGAAAAATGTAATCGATTATTGGTTCTGAATGTCGATTTCGATTACTTTTTAATTAATCGCCCAGCCCTAGGTACCAGTATCTATTTAATAAATAGATACTAGTATCTAATAATTAAGTACTAGTACCTAATGAATAAGGACTAGTACAGTATCTATTATTTAGGAACTAATGTCTAATTAATAAGTAATAGTACATACAAATTTGTACTAGTCCCTGCTGGAATACATACTAGTCAAAACTGAATAGTTGAAACAACAGAATAGTTACTAGTCACTATTAGAACAAGTACTAGTATCTAATGAATACTAGTATCTAATACATAAGTACTGGTATCTATTTAATAGGTACTAGTGTCTAATAAGAACTAGTATCTAATGAATGAGTACTAGAAACTACAAAAGACACTGGCAGCTAAAGAAAAAGCACTATTATGTAAAGAATAGGCACTAGTATTCAATAAATAAATACTAGCACTTAATGGAATAGATACTAGTATCTAAAAAAAAGTTTACTAGTGAAATGAAAATAGATACTAGTATTGAACATCAAATGCTAAAACAGCTTGCCAAAAAGTTTCTATAGGTTTCATCAAGTCAAATCTATCAAGTCAAAACTACAATAAACAATGCACAACATACAAAAATGCATAAATACATGGAGATCTTTTAAACAAACTATATTGAAATGGTGGATTTTTAGGTGAATTGTAGGTTGTTCCTTTTGAGTAGATTTACATGGACAAGAAAATATATACACCTGTAAATATAAAAGTATTTAAGACCACCAATACCATATTTCAGTGAATTTAAGACTAATTAAGGCTTTTTGAAATTTTGCTTTTAAAATTTAAGAGTATTTGAAGACTCCGCAGACACCCTGCTAAAGGTTTAAAATCATTCATTCATTTTCTTTTCAGTTTAGTCCCTTTATTAATCAGGGGTCACTTTTTATTATGCTGATTTAAAGATCATTACAAAATTGTTATTGGAATAAAAATAATATAAATATATATAATTATTAATAATAATTTGCCAGCATTACTGATAAAAGTGAAACTTCGAGATGCATTACAGAAATGTGACTTGAGGCATGTCTAATTCTCGCTAATGCCACAATGCAAAATATCCATAATGTAGACTTCAATTTTCATGCGAAGCACAATTTTTTTTCCTAATGATTTTGTGGTGAAATGTGACCCAGATATTTCCTGACAGGCTTTGAGAGATTCGCCCAAAAGGCTGGGCCCGACTCATTTCAATGATTATATAGGCCGTCTTTCTATTTTACCTACTTTTTTATAATGGCCTCACATCATTCTATCTAATCTTTAATATAATTTTCAGCCGAAACATGTCTGGATTGATGGGGTTTTTTGTCGTCGTTACAGCCGATGCTCTGTACGATCACTGAAAAATGTAGAAATAAGTGAAGGCGGATGAAACCTGATTAGATCTTCAGCACTGTATGCTTTTGTTTTTAACACAGTTCCATAGTAACATCTGCAGTCCTGACTGACGCTAATGAACCTCAGAGAATGTGTGTGCATATCAATAGACGTTTTATAAGAAGCCAAATAAAAAGTGATCCTTTTAAGACAAACATCCCTCAGGGGAATTTCTCCAAGCCGAATGTCACATACCTAAATCATGTGCAACCATTTTTTTTCCCTTTGTTTTGCACTATTCTTTCAGTAGGGGGGGTTTACCCTCTTGATCTATGATTACTGTCTCTCTCACTGCATTTAGTAATAGAAACGTTAATCCCAAGAGACGTAATGCCAAATAAGCGCAAATCCTTCAATCCAGTTGTTTTTGTTTTTTTGGGGAGGGGGATAGTGGGATTCCCCAGCAACACATCACGTGAGGTGACGTGTATATATGTTTTGATGAACTTCGGGAAAAAAAACAAGGATTTATCGGAATTATAAGACATTTTTCAATCACTTTAGTGCTTTTTGTGTACACCAATCTCCACGGTTTTGACGTGGGACGCCAAATCCTTCATTTTGTTAGCATAACAGAGTGATTCCTAATTCATTTTCACTCAGACTTGTTTACTGTCTGTTTTACAAGACTGTAAATTGAAACAACATGATGGATGTTTTTCCACTCTGGCATACGGTCATTTATTGTGAAATGGTGGCAGCTGCAGGCCTCTTTTTCCCTCATCATCCGACGGTGTGTGTGTGTGCGTCGTGTTGTCAATGCAGGATAAGTCTGGCCTTGATTATGTGTTAGGTGCTGTAAGCCCCGCTGAAAGGAGAAACGTCCTGTAATCAATTTGCTGATTAGTGTTGTTGGATTTTAAGCCCTTGTCGCTCGCCGCTAGTTTTGTGTCCATGGAGCACAGCTGTGATTTTGGGGGTCTGAGTTCGTTTCACAAACACACACAAGCACACGTGAGCGCATTTATTCTGCAGTACCTCAAGGGGCTCCTGGCATTATTTTTAATTGCAACAATGAATCCGCTAAAGAAAAAGGAGCTGAATTCCCCAAGGCCTCCTTTAAGAAGCCACAAGGGGGATGAAAGTGGGGGGTTTGGGCTCAATCTCTCAGCGAATCAGCAGGCCTGAAAATCCAATATGTTCCTGAAGACAGCAGGCTGTACATCATTTGTCAGGTCCTGGCACTATCACTGCTTTATCAGATGGGAGGGTTTTGGTGGGCTTGGCCTGAGATTGGTTTGAAGTTTGAGGGATCCTGAGATCAAAGACTTTACATTGGTGATACTTTGGTGAGGCGATGCAGTGGCGCAGTAGGTAGTGCTGTCGCCTCACCGCAAGAAGGTCGCAGGTTTGAGCCTCGGCTGGGTCAGTTGGCGTTTCTGTGTGGAGTTTGCATGTTCTCCCTGCGTTCACGAGGGTTTCCTCCGTACTCTGTTTTCCCGCACAGTCCAAAGACATGCGGTGAAGGTGAATTGGGTTGGTTAAATTGTCTGTAGTGCATGTGTTTGAATGAGTGTGTGTGTGGATGTTCCGCAGAGATGGGTTGGAGGGTACTTGATTAAATAAATAATTATTAAAAAATATATTTTTTTAAAAAGAATGAAGTGCACAGATACATCTTTTTATAACAAACACTACAGTTGAAGTCAGAATTATTATTCGCCCCCCTGTTTATTCCCCCCAATGTGTCCCAGCATCTTTCAAAATATCTTCCCTTGTGTTCAACAGAAGAGAGAAACTTAAATAGGTTTTGTACAAGTGAACTGATAATGACAATTGTCTTTTTTTTTAATTGAGCTGTCCCTTTCTTTTTTCCTATAGATGTACATGTACATTCATTTAATTAATTAATTAGCAATTTTGGTATTTTAATCCCAGATTTCTACTTTTTTTTTATTTGACTTTCTTTTTTTTAAGGCAAAGATCTTCAAGATAAAACAGAGACATCAGTACAAAATAGACAAATTCTAAAATAATAATTACAAATACTTTTCCAAATATAACAGTTTACAAAATAAATTATTAGCAATTAATTAATAATTTAAACAAATAATTACAATAATTTCTACATTTAATTGTCTTTTTTGTTGGTAAACCTGTGCTGTAGTGAAGAT